AGTTTTTATAAGGTGTTTATAAGGTTTTTATAAGGTTTTTATAAGGTTTTTATAAGGTGTTTATATGGTTTTTATAAGGTTTTTATAAGGTTTATAAGGTGTTTAAATGTGTATTAAGGGTTTAAAAACTAATTAAAAGTTTTACAATGTTTTTGTAAGGTTTTGTGAAGCATTTAAAAGATTTTACAAGATTTTTGTATAGCTTTTAAAAGTATTTTACCTACTTACAGTTCCATAGAAATCTTCCATTCATGTCACAAAGGTAACAAATAGTAACATACATAAGTATTAACACATGAACTTGAGGTTGAAATACATATTAACACAGTAACATACATAAGTATTAACACAATGAAAGAAGAACCATCACAACCAAATCAGAAGTAGTTAGCGATTACAAACAATAATTACGGGTTTAATGGAATATATCTCAGACTCTAATTTCACTTCTCCAAAAGCTATGCATACATAAAAGAAATTCGTTTGTTCATTTGTAAAGCCCACTGTAACCTCCTTCTCTTTTGTCCACTTATTAATCTCTACAACGAGCCAACACGTTACATGACGAGGTGAATCTTGATTCTGTTCTCAAGCTTCTTAGAAGTTATGTGTTCAGCAATTCTCAGATCTCCAGCATCTAATCCACGAGAGCTTATAGCCAATTCTGCGACTGTGACATCAAGTGATTCAAAGCTTCAGTTTCTGCAGTCAAAAGGATACAATGCACCTGCAATTAAAGAACGAATTCACTAAAGCTAGGAGAGAGAGAGCCAAAACTGGTCTCATCTAGTCCATTACCTCAAATACATGATATATGAGTCTCATCTAGTCCATTTAACACATCAGCTCTTCTAGACAACAAAACCAACATAACAACACCAAACCTATAGTTATCAAGTTTCTCTACAACACTAAGTATCTTTCATTGGTGATGGGCTCTCCTATCAAATTCACTCTTCCTACACACACAACAGAACAAACATCTTCACCATCTATTTCATATTCATATGCAACAATTCTCATTACAATACCATCTTCTAATCATCTAAATACAAAAATTGCAGACATCAACACATAATTAGCAACCAATTCATCAAAAATCCATATCATATAGAATTCTCTTTCCACAACTATTAAAAATCATACTTAATATATGCTTCTCATCCATTAGCCAAAAGCAAGTTGCATAAAAAAATAAGCTTATTTGTTTGGCATTTTACCAAACACCTTATGTGCGCTCAATGAATCTTTCTATTTTCTGTAGAAATCACATAAACATGTACCTTAAATGTATCATTATCAAACCTAAGACAAAATCAGAAAAGCAAAGAAGAAGAAAAGATCAAAGCTCACCTATGACGACAACTCTATATGTTAGCAACAAAAGGAAGGTATGACTAAGTAGAAGATGAAACTGAGAAGAAAGAACGACAGAGAACAAGAGACAAGGTGAGACAACGACTAAGGAGAAATCAGAGAAGATGAGATGATGCTAGAGAAGAAGGTCGATGAACACCGAGAATACACGGCGAGATCGACAGACGGCGAAGAGAGGAGGCGAGAGAAGGAGAGAGAAGGAAGAAGGTGTGCGTTTAGGTATGTTAAAAGGGAGAGTTAATATTAAAGAGGGTAAAGTTGTCATTAAAATTTTAAGAAGGGTAAAATTAAAAATGACAAGAAAGGAGGGTATTTTTAAAAAGGATCATCCCAAAAAGGGTATTTCTAACAAATTCTCAATATTAAATTAATATTATATATGTTTACGTGTATTTAAAATAGATACAGTATAACCTCTATAAATTAATACTCGATAAATTAATACTCTCTATAAATTAATAAATTTTTCTGATCCCAAGTTGGGAACAGTGTAATTTTAGACATATATGGATAAAATAATAAGATAATAATTTTTTTGAAAATCCTTTGTAAATATATAGTCCCATCAATATTATAAATTAATAATTAGGTAAATTTTTTAAAATATATGTATATATAAACACATTAGTTTTTGTTAGAGTTTATTTTTAGATATTTTTGAAAAAACTTTCCAAATTAGGAAAATCTCTCTATAAATTAATAATTATTAATTTATCGATAAATTAAAACCTCTATAAATTAATAGATTTGCATGGTCCCAACATTATTAATTTATAGAGGTTTTACTGTATGTTTACATATATTTAATTTTGAATTTAAGTGTCCACTTTTTATGGTAAAGGATTATTGTGATTTCCATAAATATAGATTGTTTTTGTTTTTTTTTTTTTTGGCTGTCATTAATTCTGTTTGGAAACAGGTTTAATTTTCATGAAATTTTTTTTAAATAATTGGGTCTGTTTGGACACAGCTTGTGCTTCCCAATTAATAGTATAGATTAGTTTAACCGTTACAAAAAAACTAACATCAATTACACAAAGTGATTTCAAAAATATAACATCATTTTCTGTAACTGACACAAAATTAACATCGATTGCCACAATTGATACAAATATTATGTTCAATTACATCATTTATTAACAAATGATGTGAATTATTTGCATCACCAATTTTAGAATCATTTATTTAAATGATGTAAAATTATTTTGAATCACTTATAAGTGATATAAAACTTAAAAATAAATGATTCAAAATGATCTTTTTTTTGTAGTGTGTATATGTGATTTTTGTTTTCAGAAAAGGTCGAAACCCCACGATTATTTTTACTAGCTTTTGGTGTAAAATTTAACTACATAATTCAATTTTGTGAGTTCTTTTTTAGTGTAATTTTTTCTTTCTAGACCCAACAATATAATCGATATATGTATTTATACCAAATTTTTTTGCAAACTACACAATTACAAAGTTGTTAAACTTGTATTAGTGTGGACCTAACAACCATCCAAAAACTATCTCCAAAGAAGAAGATGATTGCCACAATCAATAGAAAATCTTATATCTTTTGTTGTGAAAATAATGGGTTCAATAATAGAGTGGGTTGAAATCTTGTTTGCCTCTAGCCATATACCACCAAGAGGACCAAGACGTCCTCAGAAAGTGGCCTTCTAAACTAGCAGTACAACTTTTCCTTTATAATATATCCAGCACTAACTACTCTGACCTAATCGTCCAAAAACATGTCTCTTTCGGACAATTTGAGTTTCGAAGTAAATTGTTTTACATGGCTATAACCAAACAAACATGATGAGATTCAATAATATTGGTTTGCGTCAAAGAAAGTTCATAAATGTACCAATTTTGGAAAATGCTATGAAACATAAACCAAAAGAACATAACAAATAACAATGCATGAAAGTAACTTTTATTAGAATACATGCATGAAAGAAAGAAATCACATCTCAACATAAATGTCACTCACATATTTTTCAAACCCGAACCTTGAAATTTCTCATCGATGATCATGTCGATTTTGTTCACCATTTCAGTGTTGAGATGATTCTTCCAATCATCTACTTCTCCTTTGCGGAAGTAGATGTTGTGATCCAAGTTATTCCACGATATCCCGGTCTTGTTGATTTCCAGATTGCTCAGACTACTCAGAGAGCACAAGTTCAAGATCTTCTCAACAGATCCGCTACGTATCTCTTCTTGACTAAAAGGACAACCCAAGAACTCGGCAAGTCTCATGACTTGTGCATAAGGCTCTTCTTTGAGTTCCTCGTACCTCATAAAAAGAACATGCTTTGGATCTTTCAAACTGCCTTCCCAATAGCTCAAAACATTGTCCCATAAAGGTCCAAAAGTGTGAACTCCATTGCGGAACGACTCGATAATAGACTCGAGACTGCTTCTTTCAGCTTCTTGTTTCTCCATTTTTGACCTAAAATGCCATAACGACACTAACACATCCTTCACGTTCCTGCATACGTACACAATCTTGCATGGAGAGTCCTTGAGCGGCTCTCGCAGAGTATGCAACGGCATGTGGGTCGAGAACAACCTTGGAGATGATGAGAGCTTGGTCAGGTCCGGTGTTGAGCTTCTGACATACAACTTCAACTCAAGAAAAGGTACAAGACCGTGAGGGCTATCAGAGGTAAGAGGATGGCTCTGAAGACTATCCTTTGACCTATGAAGTAAAGCGACGGTTAAGGCCTTGAGCCAAGTCGTGCCAGACTTGGGGTATGAGCTGACTATTATGTCGGAATCAAGTGGCTTAAAGTGTTTTTGGTAATCGAAGACTGCTTGGAGATTGTTGTAATAGTACCAACATCCTTGGTAGTTGCAAAGCTTCTTCCCTTTGACATCTGTGTCTGAAGGAAGTGAAGATATCAAAGTTCTAAGAGCAGGTTTATTGGTAGGTTTTTAATAAAATCTTAAGTTAAAAAAGTTAAGAAAAGATAAAAAAAATCTCTTATACAAGAGACATATATCAACTTTTCTTAGTTTTTCATCACTTTTCTTAGCTTAAGAGTTTTTTAAGAATCCCTTGATAATCATGGTCTAACTTCTGTTCTTATGTCGTCTTCGTCTCCAAAGTTTCTTTGAGGCTCCGTCTGATTCATCAATTTTTTTTCTTTTTTTATCTTATGAGTTCTTGGCGCTATATATTACCTCGCAAACATATCACTATTTGTAAACGTGTAAAACAAATGAAATTACTTACGTAGTGGTTAGGAAATAATTCAGTAAGGTTTAACTAACGCTCTCTCTTTTAGAAAAAGAAAATAGATTAATCCTTAATTATGATTCTTAATTTTGTTCCCTACATTTCATAAAAAATAGTCGTTTTCTATTTAGATATATGTTGGAAATGCTAACATATACTATTATATACATAATATTTTTTATAAAATGTTACAGAAGGTAGTCAATAATTACCTAATATTTGAATGTGATTTCACATATCAAGAAATATTATTTTGTAATTTATAAAGAAGGAGTAGGTAAAAAATTTTGTTTTCTTTCAATTATTTCTCACCAAAAAATCTTTGCAACACTCTGACATTTGACCTGTTTTTTAAAAAAAATGAATAATCATGTCTAAAGACTTATGAATTTTAAAGTTTTAAAGTAATTAATCCAAACTTTAAAACAACAAAATGTAAAGAAATAAATTCTCAGTTTAAGAGTTTTGTGACTTAAATTTACATGAATTCATAATGGATATGAATTCTAAAATTACATATGATTTCTCGTGTTTTACTTAAAATTACATGAATTCATAATGTATGTTGGAGATTACTGTTTCGTTTGAGTTTTTCTTTACGTTTACTATGTATTAGAAAATCCTAAATTGTAAAACAAAAGAATGTCTAGCATGCTATAAAAAAAACCATCGTGTCCTTTAGTTTCAAAAACTGCAAAAAAGAAGAGGAGAGTGATCAAGAGAGATCAACACAGCCTTGTCTTCGTCTTTACTAGATCTCTTTTTCTTTTACTTCAACTCCGGCTAAGGTTAAAGACTTAAGTGCAGTGCCATGTCTACCAAACTTAGAGAGTTTGTGAAAAAAACTATTTAATTATGTTTAGTGGTTTAGTTTATATATCCTTAATATAGAAGCAAATTCAAAAGTCTGAAAATATATGAGACTAAATGTTAGACATATTGGCCGGGGATCAAACTTCTATAAGATGAACTTTAGACTTGATTACCATTTGACTAAACTAACCTAAGATTAATGTCTCTATTAGCATGGCCTAATTAAGATACATATAAACTCAAAAAAAAATCCATATAGCCACTTGAGGCTATAGTAATAAAATCTCTATAGCTAATTGAATGTTAGTGGATATAGTAAAAAAAATTCCTATAACCACGAATATTAAGATTCAGCCACAAAAATTTAAGTGGTTATAAGAATTGTTTTTACTAGTATTACCATATTCCCATACAAGTAGTAGTCATGGAACATAGTTCTTAAGATATCCATGTCTTTAGAATTTTAAGTAAACATGCAAAAACATCTGTAACAGAACAAAACAAACCAAAAGAAAAACATGATGATAACTTAGCAAATGGTGTTATGTGATTACATGTTCGTATTTTGGTTCAACCAAATCATACGAAAATTTTCAAATATTCATGCATGCGAGTGTACTTCACGTCCGGGTAGAGTTTAGAAGCTTCTTCGTCGTCTCCGACTTCATGATCAGTGAGACAACCTTCGTAGTATATGTGATAAAAGTGTCCTAATCCCGCTTGGTGTGATATCTCCTTATCTACATATACATATAATTAACATTGTCACATTGTTTTATAGAAAATAAATATTTAGCCCCGACAGCTCAATTCTCATAATCTAATCCAAAAGTTTTGTTTGGTTAGTAACTTAGTATGATAATTAGACTTAATTACGTACCTTCAATGTCAGCAAGAAAGTCATGTGCTGAAACAAAGGTCTTCTCCAATTCTTTTCCAATTAGTTTCTCCCATATTTGAACTAATTCCAAATGTGTGAGAATGTTCTCGGTAGGTCTCACGTACACAGTTTTATTCATCGTTCGGGGATCGTTAAGCGTCTTTGCGGTATATTTTGCCATGTCATCTTCATCTATGAATGCCACTAATAAAATGAATGGGAACATAAATGGTTAGAATAAATCTTGAATAAAAATGTAAGTTCCTAATTCGAAAAAACATTTGTATAATGAAAATTCCGTTGCACTTGATGTAAAAACATTATTTCTCGAATAAAATTTTATATTTTATTCAAAAACAAAAAGTAAGTGCTTAATTCGAAAAACATTGTATAATGAAAATTCCGTTGCACTTGATGTAAAAAAAGTTATTTCTTGAATAAATTTTATATTTTATTCAAAAACAAAAAAATTAAGTGCCTAATTCGAAAACATTGTATAATGAAATTCCATTGCACTTGATGTAAACAAATTATTTCTCAAGTAAATTTTATATTTTATTCAAAAACAAAAAAGTAAGTGTCTAATTCGAAAACATTGTATAACAAAAATTCCGTTGCACTTGATGTAAGAAAAAATATTTCTCGAATAAATTTTATATTTTGTTACAAAAAAATAAAGTAAATGTCTAATTCGTAATTATGAATTGTAGAAGCTATATCTCCAAGTGAAAGATAATGAGATGAGTTTCTCATAAAAGTGTTTTTTACCTTTAACATTTCCATCCCCATAGATATCAACTCTTTCTCTAGGAGGCATCAAAGTTCCCATTTGAGATAAATTACCACCAAAGTATGCGGCGAAACAAGCCCCGACGAGGTACGTGTGTGGGATCCCGGCGGCCTCGATTGCATTTCGTACTTCCAATTTTTGTTCGAATGTTTCATTACCTGGTGGCATCGCATGTCCCATACGTGATGGATCCATTCCAAATTCTGATGGTAAAAAACGCTGAAATATAGTATTTACACTTGTTAAAAAAAAGTTATTACAAGTATGTTTTAGTTCATTGCAACTATTCTAGACTTTTTAGTTTAAGCTAACAACAAGACGAAAGCCAAGACAGACACATTTTTTCTTTAAACACATGCGGCCGCTCGGATCAATAATTTAGTAGGTAGTTTGAATTGTTTATGATTAAGCAAAAAAAGATAAAAATAAAAATAAAACTGATTTCTTATTACTTAAAAGAAGTATTTAAATAGTCTTTGAACAATTATGTATTCAAGTTTATTAAAACTTTCGTATTAGTAAGCCAAAAAGTGCGACTTTGTGATACACAATTATCTTGCAAATCTTTGAACGAATCTTATCTTTTCTAAGAAAAATATTTATACTTTAGTAATAATTATTGTGTGTAATATTTTAGTAATATTTATACTTTAGTAATATTTATATAAGTGTGTAAAATATACATATGGTTAAAGTCAATTCATAGCCGAAATGTGCCATTTTGAAAGATGCATATGTCATGCAGACAGATCCATTGTACCTTGTACACATGATTACAATTTGCTTTAAACTCTGATGTAAAAGGGTGATAACTACATGCATGACGTGTACAGGATTCTATGATTCAAACTCTATAGACTATCAGGTGAGAAATGTCAATAACAAGTTATGTTTCATCAAAATTGATATACTTAGTGATTGAATTAATATTTACCTTGACGTTACCGGCCTCTTTGATGGCTTCGACCAGTTTGAGCTGAACAGGGATGTTGTGAGTACGGAAATGGACTCCGGACATGGCCGAGACAACCACGTCGACTTGCTTTACGGCAGAGACAAGACTCCGGTGATCGGAGAATGAGCCTTTCACGAGATGTGCGCCGAGTCTTTTGAAAGAAAGGAGGAGCTGCACCTTCTCAAGATCCACTCCGATCTCTGGCCGCTGTAGAACGTAAGTCTCGTGTCCCTCAGCCAAACATGCACTTACAATCCTCCTCCCTAAGGATCCCGTCCCTCCAACCACCAGAACTCGCGTTTTCTCGCCAAAAATTTTCTCGCCAAAATTAGTCTCTCCCATCTCTCTAAGATAGGTGCTTTGTTTGTTTTTTGGAATGGTGAAACTTGAGATATATAGTGCCGTGACTTGTGAGGAGTTCGTTTATTAATCTTTCTAGTATTCGTTACGTTAGGTCGAATATAGTATTCACATACGGACATACGTATAGGGGCCGGAACAAAGACAATAATACAATATACTGTTTAAGATGTTATGAATATAAAAATAACTTTAGATTGAAGTCTCTCATATAATTACACGCCATTACTTTCTTCTTCGGCCACGACCTCTTCCGCCAACAACCACAAAGTTACAAATAAACATTTGGCTTCACTATGCTAATCAATGGATTAGTCAACTATTCGATAGATGCATGTGATAGACACTTTAACTAATATGAACCTATCGACGTGGTTTAGTCCTAAGCGTTGGATAAGAATTATAATTTATGTATGAGTAAGTATGTCATCAAGAGAATTAAAAAGAGTCCATGTTCACTTTACGAAAAGAATAAGCAAATTTGATACTAATTAAACATGTATATCCATATTTGTTCTTTAACCTAAAAATTGTATAGTTAATGAAGATTTGAATACATAACTTTATACAAAATAACAAAAACATGGATTTTATCTTTTGTATTCTTTGTGATATTTTCGTTTTCTCATGGAACATACGATTTAAGTTCGTATCCATTATAATTAATCATTGATGGATGTACTTTAAATTGATACAAAATAAAAACAAATCCGAACACACAATAATTAAAGAGATTACGATTGGGCCATGAATAATGTGATGATTTGATTGTTGACAAAGATAAGTAATAATAAGGTTAAATTGTACTGTAAAGATCGACTTGTTTATAATCCAATGATGTTTGTTTTAAGTTAGGTGTGCCTATAAATCTCATCAAGAATCTAGAATATAATATATGTTGATTGTAAAAAATATTTGATTATATAGTTATGTAACCAACATTGGACTGGACCAAATTAACCTGAACCATTTCACACTACCATCTTCACATTTTTATATAACTTAGTCAATGATTTCGTCAAGAGTCGTTTAACATTCGTATAGACAAGTCAAACATGTTAATCTTCTCGAAATCGTGCTTTAAAAGTGTAATCCGAATATGTCAAATGCTATGACTTCTCGAACCTATAATATATACTTTAGTAGTACCTGCACTACTATAATTTAGGATTAGTTAGGGGTATTAATTAACACGAAGTATATAGTTGGACGTTTCACCTTTAAGACCATACAATTCTTAGACATTTTTATCTCTCCATCTATATAAACTTGGCACTTGCCTTGACAAACTAAAAATAATAATACTCCAATTGTAAAAATCAAGCAAAAAGCTGCAAGAAATAATAATTAATTTGGTCGAAGTACCTTAAGTATTTGAGTGATGAAAATAATAATAATAGTTTCCCTCATAAATTTGTTTCAACAAAATAAAACAAATCACTCAAAGTTAATTAACAGCATCATTAAAAATTAAACCAACTATGAGTCACCATGTTTTATAGTCTTCTAGTAGTTGTGTTAAGTTGATTAACTAAAGAGGTTAACGAGTTAGTTTTGATAAGAACGGTGTAATATTGAAAGTTAACGAGAAATTTACAAGTATACGTTTATTGACTCTTTCTTCCTACAAAGATAAACACTAACTATCTTATATAGTTAGTCTGACTTTTAATGTAAAATTGTGGCTAAATTGGTCATAGTTCAACAATAATATGTAGGATTAGTAAATAAGTTTTTTTTTAAAAAATTTTTTATATAGCAAATCGGCCGTCGGATATAGATGAGTTTACGGATAGGAGTGAAGATAAAGTTCACTAAAAAAGTGGGTTTATGAGTCGAAAATGTACAAACAAATCGTTAGGTGTTTCAAAATTCAAATAACCTATCTGAAATTTAATCATAGTGCTTTAATAAAAGTTAAATGTTAATTTTTTTTACAGCCATACAAGATGACCAACATGACCATGTTGTGGCAACAGCCTAATATCTTTTTTTTTGAATTTAATGTTAAATTATATTCAAAAAAAATAATAACGTTTGTACAACTAGTACATCGGTTTATAGAGGAGGATGCGAATAAAAATTATAGAAAAAACCGAAACAAATTTAGTTTCGAGATTGGATCCATATTTGAAAACAGCCTAATATCACTCTTAAATGACGTAATTTTGGGCGTTACAATTTTTAGAAAATGCAAAAATTGTCTTTCTTAACATTCAATAAGATTCGAACCATATACCTGAAAGACACAAACCAATAGTTTACCAATACTTTAAAATAAGAAACCAAAGTTTTGGATCAAAAATCCTCAAAAGTCTCAAACATCAAAACACATGTAAAATTACATTACACATGTTGGAGACAAAATCATAACCAACATACAAAACAAAGCTGCAAAGTAAAAAAACACATCGAAATATAAAAAAAAGTTTTAAGATCATGATCCTTAATTGTTATTTTGCTTCTTCTACATGATCACACCTTCCTTTTCATTGAATCTCCATATCAATCCATGAAGCATGCATACAATCTAAAGTACAAAACACTCTTTTTGAGCACTTAAATACCAAAGAATCTACGCAACGACCAGCACAATGATCACAAACTGGTCGAGAGCTACTACAGTTGCGTACTATTTCCATCTTCTCTTCATCATGATTGTAACTTTTGATGGTCACTAGTGGCTTCAGGTACATATTTAACCCCAATAAACATGTAACATGGAGAGTAACCCTACAACTGTCGCATGTATAAAACCATATCTTTGGATCCAATATGGACTCACATATCTCACACCAGTACTTAAGATTTGTTGCATCTTCTTCTCCGTAGCAAAGAGTGAGTAGATGACTATCATACTTGTAGTGCACCACACTAGGCACATTAGCGCAAGTGAGACACAAAAATGATTTGGACTTAACACATTCAAGAAAAAAAAAGGAGTTCGATAATGACTTACACCTCATACATTCACCTTCAGTCAAGTTCATGAAGAGGGGATGAGGATGGTGGTCATGGATTAAAGGATCCGGAAGGGAAGCACATCTTACATCAAGAACAAATCTACAGTAACTGTCGGCGCATTTATACACGAAACCACATCCTAATTGCTGGCACCCGTAGCATGTGAACATGTCGTGGACATAAAACTTAGGAGGGAGTTGGTAGGAATCAGGAGAGGTTGGGTGGAGGGTAAGCGGATGTTTGTGTAGCGGATGGCTTTTCTTGCGAGGAAGGTTTGCACATGTTTCATGGAGAACATATTCGCATTGCATACATCTATAGAAAGGATCTGAAGGTAGTACTTGAAGGATGCAAGCATCACAAAGCTTGCTTTCTTGATTTCCAAGAAACCAGTTCTTGTGGAGCCTCATATAATGGCCATGACTGAAATGTTGTATTGTGTTCTCATCAATCTTCACGAATGGCTCAATATCCTCAGTTGAATCTTCGGGTACTCCTTCAAGATCTTTCCCATCCCATACATCGTCCCTCGTTGCACATTTTGAATGGATAGCATAGTGGCATCCTTTAGTACAAGAGTACTGCCCGTAATTGATGTCTACTGTTTTGCGACAAACCCCGCAAGAATAGTCTCCAGGAGGAAGGGAGGAGGTGAAAGAGAGGCGGTGAGAGTGACGAGTGATCTTAATGACGCGTGGTAAGTAGATACATGTTCCATGAACCATGTAGTTACATGGATGACATTCGAAGATGTGATCAGTGTCATCTTCATCAAGAGACAAACCACAAGCATCACAGGGTAAAGGGAGCCTTCTAGGGAAGACGGTTAAGGCATGCTCATGGATCTTCGGTGGTGTGATAGTGAGAGGTGGTTGGTTTCTTGTACAAGAAGCATTGAAGCTGAGTTTGCAAACAGAACAATGATAGTATTCGTCTTCAAGACGTTTCCGACAACACTTGCATTTCGCATGCTTCCCATCATCATCATCATCATCATCATCATTACAACTATGAACTTCAAGATCTAGTGAGATAAGGGTAAGAAGGTGAGAGGGATGAAAAGGGTGTCTAATCTCAGGCAACTCACAATCAAAATGAAATTTCAAATCGCAAATACAACAATAGTAACAAGAGTAGTAGTTAATCTGCTGAGAGATCTCTCCTTTGCATATGTAGCAGATCATAGAGCTTGGAGTGAGTTCATCGGAATATTCTAGCCGATCAAGTGTGTGAGGCTGAGCCAGATCTGCTAGATGACATAGAGGTTCAAAACGCTTATAATACGGTACTAGTGTTTCCATGGAGGATTTTGTGTAGGAGAATGAAAAGTTTCCGAATATAGAATCTTTCTTTTCTTGGCTCTCCTTCCTTCGTGTATCAATATCATTGGAATTGATCTTAGCAAGAACAAATTGGTTCCAGCGGTAAAGACAGACTGATTAATATCAACTACCACATTTTGGTTGTATTTAAGTTAATAAAAATCCACTTGTATTTCACAATCTTATAATAATAGTAGTGGACCATTGGTATATAAAATTGGACTAATAGGATATTTAGTACATTTTGAGAAATTAATTGGGGAAGTGATACATTTACTATTTAAAATTGTCAAAGTAGTACATTTGTGAGATAGATAATCTGTGAGATAGAAAAAAAAAGGAGAAAAAAATGCCCAAAAAAAAGACAAGGGAGGGCATTCGGATTTTGTTTTTCTTTTTGTTTTTTGTTTTTTTTTGTTTTTTTGTTTTTTTTTAATATTTTTACCCCAACATTCTAATAACTAAAACTTCTTTGTTTTGTAATTTTTTTTAAAAATTTTTTTTGATTCACAAAAATCTATGTTTTTTTTCTTTATAATTTGATATGTATTTTGCTTAGTAAAAATTAAATACATTTCATATGTATATATTTTTTTGTACACTTTAGCATATGTACAGACGTATTTGTACAATTTAGTATATGTACAGACGTTTTTGTACACCTGATTATATGTACAGAGTACCCGTACAGCTTACTATATGTACACATGTATAAAAAATTACACATTTTTATCCGTACAACTACTATGATATATGAATTTATGCATATTTATGTACATATTTGTACACTAATATGTTGTACGGATGTTATTGTGTGATATTTTTATTATTGTACAAATATATGTTTTTTCACTTCTGTACATAAAATATGATGTACGAATTATATTATATAATCATTATATAATTATTCTAATGGCATACTTGTAAATAATATGTTTTTTGAGTGCTTAAAAGTCAGCAAAATAGTAGCAAATAGTGATAATGTACTAGTTTCCTAATTGTAAATAGTAATTGTACTAGTTCTATAATTAAGTTTCAAAAATGTACTACTTCTCCAACACACCCTATAAAATTAGGCAAATCGTTTTCTATAAATAGTAACTAGCTACTAAATTGGAGTTAAAGAAAAAGTTAACTACACTGTTTTTTCCTTTCTATCTAATTAATCTTTAATTAGCTAAATATTCCGAGATATTGTATGTCGTTATATTTGTTTGTCAGATTCTTAAAGCTTATCATTTAGCCATTATTCTAGTATATGCTTATGTAAGTAAAAGATGATTTGATATGAATTCTGATCACATTTTATTGAATTTTTTTATTACTAAATCGGTTTTATATTTAGTCACATACATTTATTTTGTAATATAATATAATTACCATCTACATTAATATGAAATCAAATTTTATAATAACATGTTCACTCTATCAAATATAGTTAGTTTTTGTACCATAAAAAATGTAATAAAAACATAATTGCGAGTTTGATTATATGAATGTCAACAAAGTTGTAGTTACATTTGTAAAAATACATATTGGCTTCTACTGGTAACCATTAGAGGAACAAAATGAAAAAGAACAAAAAGAACAATACGGAACGGAATAAACAACTTTTGAGGAATGAAAGGAAAACATGCAGAGAAGAACAAAATAATAAATGGTAACCAAACAATAACACTATCTTTTATAATATATTTGATTAAATAAATCAACTTTTAATAATAATACTAGATATAATTTATATATAATGAATTTGACACTAATTTTAAAATATATTTTTGAATGAATTTAAATATTTAATGTTAAAAATTAATAATTTATATTAACCTATTATAGATTATAGTAATTTTTATTTGTTATTTATGATATAAACATCTCTTAAATATGTTTTACTATCCATACAAATTTTAAATAGATTTTTTAACATGAAATTCATATCAAAAATATTTTTTAATGTCAATATATGATAAAAATATGAAAAATATTATATTATGAGATTAAAATATTATTAATAAATAATTTTTTATTTATTTTAAAATAAAAAACGAATTTTAATATTTGTTTTTTTTTTGTTCCATTTGTTCCTCATCAATTTTGGAGAGGAACATTTTTGTTCTATTGTTCCTCATTTTGTGAGGAATGTAGAGGAATGATGTGGAAAAATGATTCCTTGTAAATGGTAAAAAAATTGAGGAATGAAGAGGAATGTCACATTCCTTCTCATTTTTTTCCTAAATCATGGTTACCAATCGAGGCCATTGTCTATACCATTTGCAAATATAACTTACCTTCCATTTGATGAGAGATGAGAGCCCAAAATTTATTTTTTCCAAAAAAAATCTTATGAATATTTATAAAAAAAGCCAATAAAAGCCCAGTAAAAATGTACCGTAAATATTTTGTATTTTGACCTCTTTAAATTGCTAATTTGCATTTTGACCCAAATAAATTTGCTTTTTGACCATATTAAAAACACAATTTATTTGAATTCCCCCTAAAAGTTTGTATTTTTACCCATTGAAAACAAAAATTTCATTTTAGCCCCCACTAATTTTGCATTTTGACCCAAATAAATTTGCTTTTTGCTCCTATTAAAAACATAATTTATTTGAATTCCCCCTAAAAGTTTGTATTTTTACCCATTGAAAACAAAAATTTCATTTTAGCCCCCACTAATTTTGCATTTTTATCCTATTAATTTTTTGTCTCCCTGACTTTTGGTTATGGCTCCGCCACCGACTACATTAATAAATTTATATTTTATTTTCAGAAATTAATCTGTTTATTTAGATTTTAATTAATTATAATTTCTGCTAGTTTTCTTAGATTTTGCGACTTAATTATCCTGCATATTTTGAATCTCTTATCAGTTAAAAAAACAATTTAAGCTACTTTAATCTTTAAATAAATCCTATAAAATTCTGTATTTTAAGACATATATTTGACTAATATTATTGAGATCATTACAGAAATTAGTTAGTATGATAATAGTCTTTTTTGTTTTTTTTTTGTAGAAAATTTATACAATTATGCTTTCTGATCTAAAACTGATAGAGATTTACGAGCAAGTTTAAAGGGATCTTAAGAGCTTTTGGAGAAAATGTGAAATGAAATGCATTGTATTAGTATACATATCTATGTATCGCAATTCACAATCTGGCATCTACGAAAGATAACGAAAGTGTATATCAATGAAACCTCTTCTTATGCAATAGTGAAATTTTGGAAAATATTTTTTTTATTAAACAACATTAAATATTAATAGGAAACAAGGTGATTAATATTAAAAGCGGTATATGTATATATCACGGAGTCAACACTAAGAACTATTGTGTACCATTCCACTTCTCTAGGAGAGAAGCATTTATCTGAGAAGTCTCGCTCTTTGATGCTCTAGAGGGGATTTGATCATAAACTTCATAGCATTAGCTCTTGAAAGAAACCGAGTGATGTCCTCCAAATCAATAAACCTAAGCACACAAGAATAAAAGTTTGTAAACAAAAACACAAATTAGAGAATGAGAAGTTGAAAAGCCATAGTTTGATCTTGGCTTGGCGACTCTCTAGAAGATTCGAAGATTCTCGCCACTATAACTCAAACATAGTAATTTTCCTTCATCTTCAACCAACAAATAACTTAACTTACTTTTACCGGAAAAATAACTTAAGTTACATTCTATTATTTTTATGTACTTTTTAGTATTTGCTTATGTTTTCCTTATGTTTTGCTTATAATTTGCTAATATTTTTCTTATATATATTTTATTTATATTTATCAACTTGTTTATTTTTCAAAATTTTCAACAATTCATGTGTATTGTGTAGTCAAAAATAATGCATCATTTAAATGCATTAAAAAATAATTTTCTATCTTGAAAAATATTTGATATAAATTTATTAATTTTTATATGATATTATAATATGAATTTTCAATAGGAAATATAGAACTAGAACAAATCTTTTACATCAAATCCTTTAAAGTTGTTGTCAAAAATGAAAATAAAGAGTTTTTTTTTATAGTGATATTAATCTTTCGAATTGACTATAATCATCATTATGAAAGTTATCTAACATAATACTATAGTTGAAAAAAAGAAATATTATTATTGATAGATATCATTGATAAATTAAGATATCTACTGATTCATATACACTCTTCTTTTTTTATTAAACGAATATATAATTTGAAATGATATGTGTTGATATTAGATATAGCTGGAATGAATGGTTTAAAAACTCGATTAAAGAATATGATATAAATTGTATAATCTGAACTCAAATGTAATGATATCAATTTATCAACCATATTTCAAATGCATGGTTAAAAAAATCGCTTATCATAGACATTTGAAATTTTATGTCTAATAGTATAATTATCATAGAAGTAAATAATTTCTACAAGATATTCTCATTGAAATTAATACAAGAAGCTAAAGAAATAGCTAAACGGCCGAAAATGTTGTGTCCTAAAAACAAACGACACGCAGTTTGGGTCTATTTGATAAATTAAAAATTCATAGTACATGATTACACATTTGAGTTCAATTTGTTTCTAATCTTAATATTTTATGGTAAAGATTGTATTTATTGATTCTTTCTTTGTTTGTAACTGAGCCTTATACAGTAGTTTTCCAGAATATGTTAGCTCATTTTTATTTATTTATTAAGAATGCATTTTATACAATCTATGATTGAGAGCACTACAGAAATTAGTTATAATAATCGTACATATTTTTGAATTTCTTATAAATATAAATATATATATATATATATAAGAGAAATTGATACCAATAACCTTTTTATGATACCCTCTTTTAAAAATATCCTCTTTTTTTACCATTTTCATTTTTGCCATTTCTTAATTTTTAATGCCTATTTTACCCCTATTTGAAAGAATATTCTTTCCCAAAGGAAGGAATATTCATTCCAAAAATTTTCCCGCCAAAAAATTCCCGCCAAAAACTTTCCCGCCAAAATTTTCCCGCCAAAAAAGTTTCCGAGAAAAATTTTCCCGCCAAAAAATTTCCGCAAAAAATTTCTCGCAAAAAAAAATATTTTTTCAAAATTTTCCCGCCAAATTGTTTTAAAGGGTTTACAAGATTTTTAAAGGGTTTACAAGGGTTTTTAAAAGGATTTACAAGAGTTTTTAAATGGTTTTTAAAGAGTTTTAGAAGCCTACAAAGGTTTTTAAATGGTTTTTAAATGATTTACAATGGTTTTTATAAGTTTATAACAGTTTTAAAAGGATTTACAAGAATTTTTAAAGGATTTTAAAAATTTACAAGGATTTTTAAAGGTTTTTTAAAAGGATTTACAAGTGTTTTTAAAAGGATTTTAAAGTATATTTAAAGGCATACAAAGATTTAAAAATAGTTTTAAAGGATTTACAAGAAGTTTTAAAGGGTTTTAGAAGTTTACAAAGGTTTTTGAAGGGTGTACAAAAGTTTTTAAAGGTATTACAAGTTCTTTAAAATGGGTTTTAAGGATTTACAAGGGTTTTTAAAGGGTTTTAGAAGTTTACAAAATTTTTTATTAAATGATTTATCACGGTTATAAGGGGTTTAAACGGATTTACAAGTGTTTATAAATGTTATAAAATGATTTACAATGGTTTTAAAAGGTTTACTCAAGTTTTGAAAGGTTTTAGATGACTTTTAAAAGATTTACAAGGGTTTTTAAAGGATGTTTTAAGGGATTTATAAATATTTACAAGGTTTTTTTAAGAAATTGCGGAAAAATTTTGGCTGAAAATTTTTGGCGGGAAATTTTTCGGAAAGAATATTCTTTTTGTTGGAAAAAAAAATCTTTTTTTTTTTATCATGGGTTATAATAAAGGAGGGTAATTTAGTCATTTGTACATTGAATAGGGTATTTTTGAAAATGAAAACCTAGAGAGAGTACTTGTAGAAAAGGGTATCATAATAAAGGTTAGTTGTGCAAATCTCCCAATATATAATTATGAATTTTAAGGTAGAGTCATATAATTATAGTTTAATTTTACAATGAGACGAGCACATTCTCTAATGAGAACCAACAACTTCGTTGAATTTCATATATTATTAAACCCGCAATTATGTTTCTATTACTTTTTATTTTGTGTAAATAATTTTACCAAATTCACTTACATACACATTCTAATCGTTATATTTTTAATATTCCCCAGAAGACCAATTGCATTTGGAGTAGTATAAAGTCGACTCAATTTATAAAAAGTCATGTGAAAGAGAAGTTTATGCAGAAAATAAAGCAAAGGCATTATCATTTCCAAATATTATAATATAAACTAGTTTGTTCAACAACCACATTTTGATTGTATTTTAGTTAATAAAAAAAAAAAAAATTTGAGAAATACCCCTTTTGGTGTACCCCTTTTTAAAAACACCACTATTTTTTTTATCCATTTTCAAAAATACTCTTTTTCAAATATGAAAAATTATAAACTTTTATATGGTTGATAAGGTACATCAAGATCATCATTACTACTGGGAGATCAAATCCAAATATTTATAAAGTTTTAAAAGGTTATAAATGGCATTTATAAGGTTTTTATAAGGTTTTTAAAAGGTTTACAAAGTTTTTATAAGGTTTTTAAAAGGTTTTTAAAAAGTGTTTATACGGTATTTATGAAATATATACGTAAATTTACACACCTATAAAGATAAATTGTGTCTATAAATATAAGCTTATACATATGTTTTTGATAAATTTCAAATTTTATAGTGACTTTTTGATAGAAATAGAAAGAGGAGTATTTTTAAAAAGTGGTATTGGAAATGATTCATATACTAAGGAGCCAATAAAAAAAGACTCATGAGTCTTGGCCAAATTAATACTTAAATGCAACAAAACATTTTTAAGCGAAATTAATCCTTAAATCATAACTAAAGTTTTATTATTAAATTAAGACTAAAAAAGTACAAATCAATCTGTCTTTACAGCTAGAACCAATTTGTTCTTCCTAGTATTCCAATGATTCATATACTAAGGAGCCAATAAAAAAAGACTCATGAGTCTTGGCCAAATTAATACTTAAATGCAACAAAACATCCATGGAGACACCACCGTATTATGATCCTTCTGAACCATTATGTCTTCTTTCAGATCTAGCTCAGCCTCACTTACTTGATCGGCTGGATTATTCTGAGAGCCTCACTCCAAACTCTATGATCTGCTACACTTGCAAAAGAGAGATCACGCAAGAGATTGACTACTACTCTTGTTACTATTGTTGTATTTGTGATTTGAAATTTCATTTTGGTTGTGAGTTGTTGTTACTTGAGATTAGACACCCTTTTCATCCCTCTCATCCTCTTACTCTTATCTCACAAGATCTTGAATCCTCCGATTCAAGTATATGTAAAGATGAGAGTGAAGGTGATGATGATGATGATGGGAAGCATGTAAAATGCAAGTGTTGTCGGAAACGTCTTGAAAACGAATACTATCATTGTTCTGTCTGCAAAGTCAGCTTCAATGCTTCTTGTACAAGAAACCAACCACCTCTCACTATCACACCACCGAGGAGCCATGAGCATGCCCTTATCGTCTTCCCTAAAAGGCTCCCTTTGCCCTGTGATGCTTGTGGTTTGTCTCTTGAAGATCACAACGAGTACGTCTTCGAATGTCATCCATGTAACTACATGGTTCATGGAACATGTGTTTACTTACCACGAGTCATTGAGATCACTCGTCACCGTCACCGCCTCTCTTTCACGTCCTCCCTTCCTCCTGGTGACTATTCTTGCGGGGTTTGTCGCGAAACAGTAGACATCAATTACGGGCAGTACTCTTGTACTAAAGGATGCCACTATGCTATCCATTCAAAATGTGCAACAAGGAACGATGTATGGGATGGGAAAGATCTCGAAGGAGTACCCGAAGAATCTGAAGATGAAGAGATTGAGCCATACGTGAAGATTGATGAGAACACAATACAACATTTCAGTCATGACTCATGACCATTATATGAGGCTTCACAAGAACGGGTTTCTTGGAGATCAAGAAAGCAAGTTTTGTGATGCTTGCATTCTTCAAGTACTACCTTCAGATCCTTTCTACAAATGTATGCAATGCAAATTCGTTCTCCATGAAAGTTGTGCATACCTTCCTCGCAAGATAAGCCATCCGCTACACAAACACCGGCTTATCCTCAGGGCAATCTCTACTGAATTCTACCTATTCCCTCCTGACTTTTGTGTCTACGACATGTTCACATGCGATGGTTGCAAGCAATTAGGATGTGGTTTCGCGTATGAATGCACCAAAGATGATTGTTCATTTGTTCTTGATGTAAGATGTGCTTCCCTTCCGGATCCTTTAATCCATGACATCCATCCTCATCCACTCTTCATGAACTTGACTAAAGGTGAATGTATGAGGTGTAAGTCATTATCGAACTCCTCGTTTTTTCTAGAATGTGTTAAGTCCAAATCATTTTTGTGTCTCACTTGCGCTAATGTGCCTCGTGTGGTACACTACAAGTATGATAGTCACCCACTCACGCTTTGCTACGGAGAAGAAGATGCAACAAATCTCCAATACTGGTGTGAGATATGTGAATCCAAATTGGATCCAAATATATGGTTTTATACATGCGACAGTTGTAGGGTTACTCTCCATGTTACATGTTTATTGGGGCTAAATATGTACTTAAAGCCCCTAGTGACCATAAAAAATTACAATGATGATGACGAGGAGATGGAAATAGTTCGCAACCGTGGTAGCTCTCGACCAGTTTGTGATCATTGTGGTAGCCGATGCGTAGACTCATTGGTATTTAAGTGCTCAAACAAAGAGTTTTGTACTTTAAATTGTATGCATGCTTCATGGATTGACGACGCAGATGATTGATATGGAGATCAAAACAACAATTAAGGGTCATGATCATAAACTTTTTTGTAACTTCAGTGTGTTTTTGCTTTCCAGGTTTGTTTTGTTTTGTAAATATACGTTGTATATGTTGGTCAGTGTGCTTTTCTCTCCAGAATGTGTATTGGTTACGTGTGTTTTGATGTTTGGTTATACTTCAAGTCTTATAAATTTTATGTTAGGGAATGGTCACTTAGTGCTTCTCTCTTACATGCATACGCGTGACTAGAGCTGTCAATTAGTCCGTCCACCGTCCATCCATATGGACAATTTTATTTATGGACTATATTTGGACGGTCCATAATGGACATGGATCTAGAATATGTCCATGTCTAAATGCTCATGGACATCCTATTTTTACTTTTGTTATTTCTCTTCATAAAATTTAAATTAGAAAGTAAATAATTTCGCTAAAAGCGCAAAATCACGTTTTTTGCCAAAAATGTAAAATCACATTTTCTCGCTAAAAACGGAAAATTACTTTTTTCCTCTAAAAAAGGAAAATTACGTTTTCCCGCCAAAAACAAAAAATTACGTTTTCCAGCCAAAAAGGCAAAAATTATGTTTTCACAAAGATAAAAATTTAATTTTTAATTTTTCTTAAAATTAAAACTTTAGGGTTTTTGGAAAAAAAAAAAGATTGAGCTGTCCATTGTCCATATGGTTTTGTCCATCATGTCCATGGACAAATGGGCTTTTTAACCAGTTGGACAATTTTTTGTTTGGGCGCGTCCATTGTCCGTCCATAATAGTTTGGACTGGACAAGCCCATGGACGGCCCGCCCAATTGATAGCTATACATGTGACTACAAAAATTAGTATATTTACTTTTCAAAACTTAAAACGAACAAAAATCAATGGTCAAATATTTCCTTTTACCATTGAAGAGCCAAAATGCATGGAATACAAATCTTTTAGCATTACAATTCAGGAATGTTACAACCATAACGATACAACCAAAGTTGTACCTACGTTATCCAACCCTTCAAAGACGTAGTAATGTATGGAGGAGAAGACTCTGTTTACTCTTCCACAATCTGGTTTGATGATGACTCATAGAAAGAACAAAAAGTCTAGACTTTAAAAGTCTTCTGCTTAACTTTTCTTCGAAGTTCAGTAACAACAAACAATTCAACATTAAACCTTTATATACACACATTCACAGACACAAATTTAACATCTTTGCTCAAGAAAAATGCGGTTTAACAAGATACTACAACTTGTTCTTGTTTTGCAACTAGAAACACTTGTCGTCTTGTCTCAAAACATCATAAACGGTTCTGTTCCTGTCGGAGAATCTCTTACCACTTCAGAGTCCAGTTCATGGCGTTCCCCTTCCGGTGACTTTGCTTTAGGGTTCCGCAAGATCACACCAAACGATGGTTTCACTCTATCCATTTGGTTCGACAAGATTTCTAATAAGACCATCGTATGGCACGCACAAGCCGTCAACACAACCACTGGTCTTGTCCCAAATGGTTCCAAGGTTACATTAACCAAAGATGAGGGTCTGGTTATCACTGACCCTGGAGGTCAGGAGCTGTGGAGATCATTGAGTGGTGGCTCTGTTTCTCGAGGGCGCATGACTGACGAAGGAAACTTCGTTCTGTTTAGGGATGCGGACGAGGTTATGTGGTCGAGCTTCGAGAACCCCACCGACACTTTGTTACCTAATCAGGTACCTAGTTCTTTACTTCTTTATAACGAATCATTGTCTCAGTTTATAATTTTTCAACTTTTTTTAGTTTTATGTAAATATAATATTATTTAATACAACTAAAACCAAAATCAAAGAAGATGATAAGAGATCATAATTTTAGTGGTATTATTGGTTTATTGATTTGTAAATCCACACACAATTTGTGAATCCTTGTTATTTATGAAATCAAAATACATGGATTTTGAAATAATCTGTTTTATCCTTGGATTTGAATCTTTCTATTTTACACAATCAAATCCATTTAATAACATACTGCGGACTTTAAAATTCAAAAATAAATCACTAAACGAATAACATAAGATTTTAACTAGTATTTATAAATCATACAACCAATAACACATGATTTTGATAGTTATTTTAAAATCAATGATTGAATAACATATGATTTTTGTTTGGATTATATGACTAGTAGAAATAATTAACGGAAATTATCAAAATAGCACTAATTTAAGTTTTTTTCCAAACTTAGCACACACTCTCGTATTTTCCAAAATTAGCTCCAAATTTCAAAATTAAACTTTCAAAATTAAATATTTAAATCTAAACACTAAACCCTACCCCTAAAAACTATACCCTAAACGTAAAATAGTCAACCCAAACCTAAAAAAAAAAATTTCAAAAAAAAATTAAAAATTAATATTATAATTATGCTAATTAGTGTTATTTTTGGAAATTTGTGGAATGTGTGCTATAATTGTCCATAAAATATATTTTGGTGCTATTTGAGGGTATTTCTAAAAAATTAATCGTAAAATTGTTTAATTACATAATAATGACATTCTATGTAAATAGTTTTCAAAATATTAATACGGATATATTAAGTTAGAAACACAAGCTAAAAGGTTTAGAATTTTTAAGTATTAAGGCCGGTACTTCTACTGATCCTATTGTCAAAATAAATTTATGTGTACATCTAAGTAACGTTACATATGGATATTAATGATGCAGAATATAGAAGTTGGACAAAATCTGTCATCTCGTAGGACGGAGACGAGCTTCAAGAAAGGAAGATTCAGCTTGCGCCTAGGTGATGATGGAAATCTTCAGCTTCTCACTCTCAATGCTGAGACTGTCTCAGAATCCGACATATACTCAACGTACTACGAAAGCGACACGAACGATCCAAACAGCCCCGGTGTTCGATTAATCTACAACCAGTCAGGGTACATGTATGTACTTCAAAGAAACAATTCACAGTTCGTTGTCAAGAAGAAAGATGAGGAAACTTCTAAAGACGTCTATCGCCGCGCCGTTCTACATTTCGATGGGGTTTTTGCTGAGTACTATCATCCCAAAGGAGGCCAAGAGAATAGTGGGTGGGTGTTTGATTGGGCTGTGCCAGATAATATATGCGGGAACTCTGACTCACTTGGGAATACGGCTTGTGGGTATAATAATATATGCAGTTTAAGTAACAACCAAAGGCCAAGATGTGAATGCCCTAAGAGGTTTGTGTTGAAGGATCCAAGCAATGAGTATGGTGATTGCGTGCCAGATTTCGAGATGGAGACTTGTGGATCGAAAGATAACCAAACCGTAAACTCAGATGTGAATCTTTACGAGTTTATTACCTTAAAGAAGACGAATTGGCCATTTGGAGATTACGAGAGTTATGCCAACTATGATGAAGAAAGATGTAAAGCTTCTTGTCTTAACGACTGTTTTTGCGCTGCGGTTGTTTTTGGAAACAATCGGGATCTAAGATGTTGGAAGAAGAAGTTTCCGTTGTCTCACGGTGAAAGAAATCCGCTTGGTGATAGCGATACATTCATTAAGGTTCTGAACCGCACTATCGCGGATGGTCGACTAATTACCGAAAAGAGTTCGAAAAATCGTGGCTGGTTAATCATTACTTGTTCGGTTCTACTTGGAACTTCAGCTTTCTTGAATTTCATATTTCTTGCTATGTACAAAAAGAAGAAGAAGAAGACGTCGAAGAAAAATCAATCAAGAGATATTAGTGTGGCTACAGCTACTGCGAATGAGTTGAATTTGAGGGTTTTTACTTACGGAGAGCTCGTGGAAGCTACAAGAGATTTCAAGGAAGAGCTTGGAAGAGGAGCCTTTGGGATTGTTTACAAAGGAATTTTAAAAGTTAGTCGTGGTTCTGAAGTTACCGTGGCTGTCAAGAAACTTGATCGTCTTGCTCCTGATAATGAGAAAGAGTTCAATAATGAGGTTAAAGTGATTGCTCAGATTCACCACAAGAACCTAGTGAGGCTTATTGGCTTCTGTAACGATGGACAAAGCCGGATGATCGTTTACGAGTTCTTACCGCATGGAACATTAGCCAGTTTTCTTTTCAGGCGCCCGAGACCAAGATGGGAAGATAGAAGGAGAATTGCGGTGGACATTGCCCGTGGGATCTTGTATCTACACGAAGAGTGCAGCGAGCAGATAATACATTGCGACATAAAACCGCAAAACATACTTCTAGATGAGAATTACTGTCCTCGGATATCTGATTTTGGTCTAGCAAAGCTTTTGATGTTGAACCAAACGCATACGCTGACGAACATCCGCGGAACGAAAGGTTATGTCGCAATTGAATGGTTCAAGAACGGTCCAATTACATCCAAAGTAGATGTATATAGCTACGGTGTAATGCTTCTAGAAATCGTGTGCTGCAAGAAAGCCGTCGATCTTGAGGATGGCGTCATTCTCATTGATTGGGCTTACGATTGCTTTCGACATGGAAAGTTGAAAGATCTAATCGAGGATGACTCAGAGGCGATGGACGACATGGAGATGGTAGAAAGATATGTGAGGACAGCGATATGGTGTATACAAGAAGAGTCAGGGATGAGACCTAACATGAGAACTGTTACACAGATGCTCGAAGGTGTGACTCAAGTTCATGATCCTCCAAATCCATCTCCTTTCTGTAGCATTTTCACTTGTACTGATGAGTCTATGTCTAGTGGTCATGTGTCACTTGTTTGATACTTTTGTATCGTATAATATGTTTTAATAAGTTGATACTTGATCGTACGGCTGAAAGAATCGACATATATGTTATTAGGTTCATACATATAACATACTCATCAGAAACACCGCATTACACGAATTGTCTTGGCAGTAACTTTTGGTCCATTTTTATTCGATCATAAAATATTACATCAATTTTAGTAGTGTGCATATCATGTAGTAATCATATATAGAAATTTTTTTAATAACGAAAACAAAATAATGATAGTTTTGGAATTTTTACATGATTAATCCTAATTTATCTCACATAATATGTAATGTAACTACGTAAGCCCCTTACCAAAAAAAAAAAAAAAAATTCTACCATGATAAAGTCGATGATAATACCAATGAGGCAATGACGACACATTTTAACCCTTACATCACAAAAGGTACATTTCAGAGGAAATAAAAGATGAAAAACTGACAATGGAAAAAATAATATTAATAATAATAATAATAATAATAATAATAATATTAATAATAATAATAATAATAATAATATAATAATAATAATAATAATAATAATAATCAAAATAAAAGATGAATTTACCCAATCTACTTTTATAATAATCAAATTCATCAATCGTTTTTGCTGCTTGAAGAATTGGGTGAATAAGAAGATCATGTCGGTTTGGTTTAGTCACAAATTTAGGTGGTTTGATTTTCGGTTTAGTATGTAAACCGATTAAACCCATATTTTCGCGAAGTAGATGAGAACTATGGATTCAGAGAGATATATGAATCGAACATTCAATTCATGGGAAATATTGATAAATATTTTTTTCTGAAACATTTACGATGTGATAATTCTAGTGGAGAATTATGAAATTTCCCAATAAATTTTTGCCATTTATAAACTTTGTTTATTACCTTTGCAGATGAAATTCAAGGTTGATGTACATATTTTTGAGGACTCTGATTTTGATGAAACTGAAATATTGTGCCTCAATTTCGAATTTCAGACAAAACGTTCTGTCGTGGTCTTGGCTTAGTTAAGTTTGCTGGATAAAAATGTGTGTTACAAGTTATATGAGTATGATCTCTTGATACTTGTATTATTAATAAACATATGTACTATGTATGTTGTTTTTTTTTCTTTCTTTCTTTTTGTTTGTGTGGAGTGTGGTATTCCAGAAATAATTAAAGATAAGTTTATATACAATCCTTAAGCAATTTTCATTTTTCTTTATTTTAGTTGAAAGTTTTTATTTTGGATAAACTACCTTAAGGAAGGGTTATTGGGAGATAGATTTGTGTCGATTTTTTTTAAAGAGGTGAAATGATTTTAATAAATATATCTATCATAGTTTAATGATTCTCATCAATTTTTCCTCCTATATGATTATTATAAAATAATAGTCTTTAGTTTTATGAAATTTTTAACGATTAATTTGGAGTTGGAGATAGAGCTGTCAATTAGGCTAAGAACCGCGGGTTAGAACCCAATCCGCTTTAGAATTTAGCGGTTTATGGTTTTAGTTTTGGTGTTCGCGGTCAAGTGAGCTGAGCCCGCTGCGGTCTAAAATCATTGGCGGGCTAATTGTTGCGGTCAACGGGCTAACTAAAACCTAATTATCTATTAAGTATTTAACTTAATTTTCTAAAGACGGTTCTACATATCTATAAATCCATGTTTCTACTAAGTTTATTTGTGTTTTCTCGAGACATTAGAAGATCTTTTAAAAGGTTTATGGCTTTGATCTAGGAAATATACTAAAGACTTTCTCTAAATGCTTATTGTTTTTCTATTAGGCTTGAAATAGTTCCTTTTTTTTTTCCTTTTCAAAAACAAAATAAAATAAATTTCACCACATTCCCTTTTTTGCTAATTTGGAATTTTTCTTAAATATGTTTACTTATATAAAAGTAAATAATCAAGTCACAACCAAAGCCTTTGTCCATTGTTTGAGTAGCCCTTTTATTCTCTTCTTTCCTCCGTCCCATCTTTTGGTTTCTTGAATTCTACATTAATAGAATGGACATGATCAGTGAGTTGTCTGATGATTTGATCTTAAAGATATTGTCATCACTTCCTTTTAAACAAGTGAGAGCAACACGTTTCTTATCCAAGCGGTGGCGAAATCTATGGAAGTGGGTGCCGAAACTCAACGTTGGTCATGAAGATCATGAAGATTTAATATCTTGGGAATGGATTTACAGATTGGCCAAGAACAATCCTCAGGTTCTAGAGAGGTTGGATTTTAAGCTTATCTCAGATTCTTCTGGCGATAGGGTCAGTCCTTGGGTTGCTCATGCAGTTTCTTGCGGTTTGAGAGAGCTGAGAATAGAGTTTCTATATACTTCTTTGTATTTGCCGAGTTATGTATATAAATGTGGAACCCTCAAAACTTTGATACTTTGCAAACTACATCTTGAGGATCTTCCCCCATGGGCTTGTTTGCCGTCGTCCCTCAAAACTCTTCACCTTTTATCCGTGAGGTTCTCATGCGACGAATCTGTTCAAAGGCTTTTAAGCATTTGTCCCGTTCTTGAAGATTTGGTTGTAAGAAGATCCACTTATACTAGTGTAGAGATTTTCACTATAAGTGTGCCTACTTTGAGGAGTTTGTCTATCGATTATTCAAAGGCGGTATCTCAACCCGCGGGTGTTCATGGATTCGTTGTAAATGCTCCTTCTTTGAGGTACTTGAACATTAGAGATCCTTTTAGTAACCTTTTAACGTTTACAAATATGCCGGAGCTTGTCAAGGCGAATGTCAAAGTTGTTTGTGATCAACCTAAGAGTCTTATAGGATCTCTTACCTCAGTCCGACATCTTTCTTTGTGCACCAAAATATCAAATGTAAGCTTTTGTCAATCTAAACTCAATTAAGTCCAATAATGTGAAACTTAAGCTTTTACTCCCTTATTGTTTTCTATCAATTAATATCATTCTATTTGTTTTGATTCAATTGTAGAATCCGTACCATAGAGACATTTTCGGCTTATTTCTTGAACATTTAGAGCTATGTACATGTTCCGCGGAGTGGTTAAATTTACTTACCCGTATACTCCAAGACGCACCAAGACTTCGAGTTCTCAAGCTTAAGTCGGTATGTAGTTAAATTACTCTCTTTCCTTACCCGTATACTCCAAGCTTATGTGCTTAATTCTTGTGCTCTAACGCTAACATGTACATTGTGCATCTCAGATACATTATGTCCACTATAATGACCTCTGGAACCAACCAAGTTCTGTTCCTAAATGTTTATCATCCCATCTTGAAATTTTGGAGTGGAGAGAGTACAAAGGCACAAAGACAGAAAAAAAGTTGGCAAAGTACATTTTAGGACAAGCAAGACATCTAAAGATGGCGACATTCACCTCAAAATCTAGAGAGAAACATCATATGTTCAACAAGTTAAAGTCTGTGCCAATATGTTCAAAGGCATGTGAACTTGTGTTTAAGTAATATTGTACGACTAACATCAACTTTGTGCTGATTATTATGTCGCTTACTTGAAATAGTTGAATCCAATTTTAACTACAAAAGAGAAACTTATATGGAAACTTATATATTGTTGTTCCATACGTTAGCATTCTAAAAGTCGTCAACTTCGAGTAAAAATATGAGTTTTTTTTTCCTATTTCTCTAAATTTTAATATTAAAAAATAGATAAAAGAAAAAGATAAATTCCAATCCAAAACCCATCCTAAACAATCCAATTCTGAATCCAAACGAAACAGTTATAAAACCCCAACGGTTAATAAATTTTCCTTTCGAAATTAACCAAACCAAATCAGATCCGTACGTATATATGAAACCCCCAAAAAGAAAAATATCAAAAATATCCAAAATAAATATCCGAATTTTCTATATTTGTTAAAATAAAACCATATTTTGTCAAAATTTAACAAAACCTTCTAAAATAAAACTATTTTTAATTAAAATTGAACGAATTTTTTTTATTTCTCTTAAAATTAAAACCCATTCGAGGTAGGTCAACTTTGTGTAAAAATATGAATTTTCCTATTTCTATAAACTTTGATATAAAAATAGAATCTTCCCATATCTCTAAATTTTAATCTTTTAAAAAAAAAATTCTACACATTTCTCTACACTTTAATATTAAGATAAACAAAGAAAAAAGAATTAAAAAAAATTCCAAGCTATTTTCATTTTTCCATAATAATATTTCCACATGGATAATATTTGGTTCGTTCGTCTTTTATTGCATTCTAATGTTTCTTCGACCTGTGTCGTCCTCGTTTATCTTCCTTCATGGTGTTCCTCTTAAGCTCAAGACCAGACATGTCCTTCGTGTAATGTTTTCTTCCTTTATCTCCAACCCTTCTCATTTCAAAGTCCATTGCTTTACTATGGTTCTAAATTTGTAAATTTGTTCTTCTTTTGTAGACATTTTGTGAGATCAGGAGAGCTACTAGTTGTGCTGCTCTATCTTTATCTCTTTCATCTGAGGAAGATGAGTCATTCCAAGAAAAGAGAATTGATTCCATGGAGAATTGTGGAATTAGACCTAATCATCAAACTTTGACATGGCTTCTTGAGGGATGTTTGAAGACAAATGGGTCTTTGGAAGAAGGGAGGAAGCTACATTCCCAGATTTTGAAACTGGGTTTTGATAACGATGCTTGCCTCTCTGAAAAGCTTCTTGCTTTTTATCTATTCAAAGGAGATTTAGATGGTGCTTTGAAAGTGTTTGATGAAATGCCTGAGAGAACGATTTTTACTTGGAATAAGATGATAAAGGAGTTGGCTTTTAGAAATTTGAGTGGTAAAGTGTTTGGCTTTTTTGGGAGAATGGTTGATGAGAATGTTACTCCTAATGAAGGAACCTTCACTGGTGTTTTGGAAGCATGTCGTGGTGCTAGTGTTGATTTTGATGTAGTTGAGCAGATTCATGCGAGGATTATATATCAGGGTTTGGGAGGTAGTACAACTGTGTGTAATCCTTTGATTGATTTGTACTCCAGGAACGGGTTTGTGGATTTAGCTAGAAGGGTTTTTGATGGATTACGTCTGAAGGATCACAGTTCTTGGGTTGCAATGATATCTGGGCTGTCGAAAAATGAATGTGAAGCAGAAGCCATTAGATTGTTCTGCGATATGTATGGTTTAGGTATCATGCCAACACCTTACGCGTTTTCAAGTGTTTTAAGTGCATGTAAGAAGATCGAATCTCTTGAGATTGGTGAGCAACTTCATGGGCTTGTATTGAAGTTAGGGTTTTCCTCTGACACTTATGTTTGCAATGCGCTTGTATCCTTGTACTTTCATTTGGGTAATTTGATATCAGCAGAACACATCTTCAGCGACATGTCACAGAGAGATGCAGTTACTTATAACACTCTTATCAATGGGTTGTCTCAGTGTGGTTACGGTGAGAAAGCTATGGAATTGTTCAAAAGAATGCAGCTTGATGGACTTGAACCAGACAGCAATACTCTTGCGAGCCTTGTGGTTGCAAGTTCAGCTGATGGATATCTGTTTACAGGACAACAGCTACATGCATACACAACTAAACTTGGTTTTGCTTCAAACAACAAGATTGAAGGTGCACTACTTAACTTGTATGCAAAATGCTCTGATATTGAAACCACCCTGGATTATTTTCTTGAGACTGAGGTTGAAAACGTAGTTCTGTGGAATGTTATGCTAGTTGCTTATGGTCTATTAGACGATTTAAGAAATTCTTTTAGGATTTTCAGACAGATGCAGATAGAGGAAATTGTTCCGAATCAGTATACGTACCCGAGTATTTTGAAAACTTGCATACGACTTGGGGATCTTGAGCTTGGAGAACAAATCCATTGTCAAATAATAAAGACTAGTTTTCAGCTCAATGCCTATGTTTGTAGTGTGCTCATCGATATGTATGCAAAATTAGGAAAGTTAGATACTGCCTGGGATATCCTTGTAAGGTTTGCTGGGAAAGATGTTGTGTCTTGGACAACAATGATTGCAGGTTACACACAATACAATTTCGACGACAAAGCTTTAGCAACTTTCAGGCAGATGTTGGATCGAGGGATCCAGTCTGATGAAGTTGGATTGACAAATGCAGTTAGTGCATGTGCTGGCCTTCAAGCCCTAAAGGAAGGACAGCAGATTCATGCTCAAGCTTGTGTATCTGGTTTCTCATCTGACCTGCCATTTCAAAATGCGCTTGTTACACTTTATTCTAGATGCGGAAAAATAGAGGAAGCATATTTAGCATTTGAACAAACTGAAGCTGGAGATAATATAGCATGGAATGCCTTGGTATCGGGATTTCAGCAGAGTGGTAACAATGAAGAAGCACTTCGTGTCTTTGCTCGAATGAATAGAGAAGAAATTGACAGTAATAATTTCACGTTTGGGTCTGCTGTAAAAGCTGCTTCTGAAACAGCAAACATGAAACAAGGGAAGCAGGTTCATGCTGTTATCACCAAAACCGGATATGATTCAGAAACCGAAGTTTGTAATGCTTTAATCTCTATGTATGCCAAATGTGGGAGCATTTCTGATGCAAAGAAGCAGTTCCTTGAACTTTCCACCAAAAATGAAGTTTCTTGGAATGCGATAATTAATGCATATTCCAAACATGGATTTGGTTCTGAAGCACTAGATTCTTTTGACCAGATGATACAGTCTAATGTAAAGCCTAATCATGTGACGCTTGTGGGAGTTCTATCAGCGTGTAGCCACATAGGACTAGTGGACAAGGGGATTGAATACTTTGAATCCATGGACACAAGATATGGTTTAGCTCCTAAACCAGAACACTATGTGTGTGTAGTGGATATGCTAACCCGAGCTGGTCTTCTGAGTCGTGCAAAAGATTTTATCCTGGAGATGCCTATAGAGCCAGATGCCTTGGTCTGGAGAACGCTTTTGAGTGCTTGTGTGGTGCATAAGAACATGGAAATAGGAGAGTTTGCTGCACGTCATCTTTTAGAGTTAGAACCTGAAGACTCGGCAACATATGTACTTCTGTCAAATCTGTATGCGGTGTGCAAGGAATGGGATTCTAGGGATCTCACAAGACAAAAGATGAAACAAAAGGGTGTGAAGAAAGAACCGGGACAGAGTTGGATAGAAGTTAAAAACTCAATTCACTCTTTTTATGTCGGTGACCAGAATCACCCATTGACAGATGAAATACATGAATATTTCCAAGATCTTACCAAACGAGCATCTGATATCGGGTATGTGCCAGACTGTTTCAGCCTATTGAATGAACTGCAGCAAGAGCAGAAAGATCCAATGATTTTCATTCACAGTGAGAAACTAGCAATATCATTTGGACTCCTTAGCTTGCCTAGAACAATGCCTATAAATGTAATGAAGAACCTCCGTGTTTGTAACGATTGCCATGACTGGATAAAGTTTGTATCCAAGGTATCAAATCGAGAAATCATAGTAAGGGATGCGTATAGGTTTCATCATTTCGAAGGAGGTGCTTGTTCATGTAAAGATTACTGGTAAGACCTAAAGCCTGACAGCTCACTCGCCTCTTTTAGGAAGGTTAAGTCCCTGTTCCTAAGTTCGAGCTCCAAAGTTAAGGTGAAGACTCATTCACATCCTCTGGTCCTCTCTCGAAGAAGTAAGCAGAAGACTACTCAAGTGCGCTGGTTCTCGCCTGAAGAAGTAGATCATGGACCAAAGCTTAAGGGTAAGCTGAGTCCGTAATGATGATGTGATAGGAGAAGAAACACTTAAACAAGTGATATTATCCTGAGGGTATGAACTTCTTGAAATTGGTAATTTTCCTCTGACTTTGCAGTCTCACAACTATATACTTCGTAAAAATTGCTTATTCAGTACTCTTGTTTACTTTCTTTGTATTATGCAACAGGAGGATACCATAGATAACTGGAGAAAAGGAATGACTACTTTGGCTTTTATACGTGTATATATACGTGCATCTGCGGTTATAGATTGGTGAATTGTATATTGAACAAAAGTGTCTGTTGTCAAGAAACAGAGTCTCTTCATTCAACATTTCAGATGATTGAATGATGTGCTTCTGAAAATGAACTATATGGGACGATTATATTTGGTGATTTCAGGCTTTTCAGCTGCTATTACACAAACTAATGTTTTGCCGATTCTTGCCTAATCTCATCAGATCACTTTGGTGTTTCGAATGTGTTTTTGGTACGCGTTTCATGGACTTAGTCGATGATCATGTTAGAAACTTATCAAAAGTAAAATAGCTTCATTTACCATTAAGATAGACAACTTGAAGTTTTATTTTGCTACTTCCTAAAAATATATTTGATATTTCATGGGGAAGCAGCAAATGATTAGATAGAAACTAACATTAAGAACACTAATCTAGAAGAGAAATCATATACAAATCTAAGCTTAAACACTCTAGGAGACTATAATTTCTCACTAATCTATCTCATCTTTAAGAACCTTAATCACTATTCAAGCCATAAATCATTATCAAGAATACATACCCGAAATTCCTAAAAACTTGCATAATCATAAATATATGAAGTAGATAAACAATAATGATCAAAGACAAGTTTTCCACAAAAATGGTGTATCAAGGATATAATGAGGGATTCCAAAGATGGATTCAATCTCGTGTTTCATCATTTGGTTTTTTAACACCTACTCGGCTTTTGTTTAAATAATTAACGGTAATAATTTAGACTTTAACTTATGAGCGGTAATAAAATCATCCCCTATATAGTAAAATAGAAGTACAACTTTTAAAATACCAAGAATTACCCCCACGATTTGATTTAACATTCAAAAAAACAATTGATGAATTCGGTTCATTAAAGTTAAAGTCGGAACATTGGAATTATTAACATAACCAATAATAAAACAATTAGTCTCTCACAAGTATTATATTTTAAATAAGCAAAATCGAAAACATTCCTCCGCGCTGGGGTGCGGGTACAATCCTAGTTTAACAAGTAATTTTAATTATAGTTTCGTGCAAAAAAAAGTTATTAGCTAATAATTTATTTATTACCGTTAAACTTATTCAACCAATCGTTGCACTAGTTGTAAATATGTTATAAATTCAAAAATATATATATTTTTGTTCCGGAATGACATTAGGGTGATTAAAAAAAATAAAAATTATCTTCTAAAAATCAAACAAAATATTTTTAATAATGCACAAATATAGAGAAATTAATCTTTATATTTTTATTTTGTTTGTGTCTTTTGTTTTATATTTTTCGGAATCGAAAAAAATAAAATAAAAAATAATAGTCGAAGTGGAGTGTTGTCGCAATCTAAAATATCAACTTGTCACTTCGCTGTCATTAGATATCCAAAATCTGTATATACCTCTCCTTTTACATTTTTCCTTTTCACTTTCCCGGGAAAACAGCCGAGAAAATCAAAATAAAAAATTTTCAGTGGGGGACAAAAGAGAATGTACTCAGCGATTCGTTCTTCGCTTCCTTTAGATGGCAGCTTGGGAGATTACTCTGACGGAACCAATCTTCCCATCGACGCATGTTTGGTCCTAACCACTGATCCCAAACCTCGCCTTCGTTGGACCTCTGAGCTCCATGAAAGATTCGTTGACGCCGTCACTCAGCTCGGCGGACCCGACAGTGAGTGTCTCCTTGTTGGGAATTTTACGGATCTCGGAAATTTGAAATGTGTCTTGTTCTTGGGGTTTTGTATGAATAGTCTTGGTCGGTTTAGGTTTTAGTTTCTTTACAGATTTGGAAATATTGAATATCGAAATAGAAATTAGGAATTACTTGAGTATTGAGTTGTTCTGATTGTTTTGATTACAGAAGCAACGCCTAAAACTATAATGAGAACAATGGGAGTGAAGGGTCTTACTCTCTACCACCTCAAATCTCATCTTCAGGTATGATAATACTACTTTACCAACAACAGTGTCACATTATGCTTCATTGCCTAGTAAAAAGGAAACAATGTTCAGTGGTTTTGACTTTGTTGCTTTCTATGTTTTGTGGTTAGAAATTTCGTCTTGGGAGGCAATCTTGCAAAGAATCAATTGACAACTCCAAAGATGGTATTCGTCGAATCCACGGTCTTATAATGTCTATTTTTTCGGTCTATCCTGCGTTTGGTTTGTCACAAACCGATTGGGCGAGATAGTTTCGTCTTCAGCTCTATCCAACTGGCTATTTGGATCTTAGTTAGTAATAGAATGTGTTGTTTGCATCATCGGTATTATCAGGACAGCTTCAGTTTAGAAATAGAAAATACAAAAGGGGCATTACCTTGTTGGGAATTTGGTTTTCTTGGGTTATGTTGTGGATTGATATCTCTATGAACTTATATCTCTGCAGTTTCTTGTGTTGCGGAGAGTCAGGACACAGGTTCATCGTCGACATCATCGTTAAGATTGGCTGCACAGGAACAGAATGAGTACGGTTATATGTGGTCTCTTTGTCTCAAATTTTGACTAGTTGTTGGTGTTATGTTTACTGTGTATGAACAGTCCTTGTTTTTGGTTTTGTGTGAGCCAGGAGTTACCAGGTCACTGAAGCTTTGCGTGCTCAGATGGAAGTTCAAAGAAGACTACATGAGCAATTAGAGGTTTGTTTTCTTATTCGACTCCCAAAATAATCGTCGTGCATCCTTATCCTCACTAACTGCTGTCTAACCCTACTCATATGCCAGCTCTAATCTATTGCATTCAGTTCTAAGCTAGATTTATAGCTAAGACTTGTGCCATTGAACTTCTTCAAAGCTTATCAGAACAATACTACTTAGGAAATCTCTCAATGGAACATAGAACCTTAGAAACTCTCCATAATGTTTGATTGATACACAATTCAACATTGCGCCATGGATCTAATTAGGTCCATCAGTATGCGCAGGTGCAAAGGCGACTCCAGCTAAGGATCGAGGCACAAGGAAAGTACCTGCAATCAATTCTAGAAAAAGCTTGCAAGGCTATAGAAGAGCAAGCTGTTGCATTTGCCGGGCTAGAAGCAGCTAGAGAAGAGCTTTCAGAGCTAGCCATAAAGGTCTCCATCTCCAACGGGTGCCAAGGAACAACAAGCACATTCGACACAACCAAAATGACAGTTCCGTCCTTATCCGAGCTTGCAGTAGCAATAGAGCACAAGAACAACTGTTCAGCAGAGAGCTCTCTGACTTCCAGCACTGTAGGAAGTCCGGTTTCAGCTGCGTTGATGAAGAAAAGACAACGAGGAGTGTTTGGAAACGGGGATAGTGTGGTTGTTGGTCATGAACCTGGATGGGTTATGCCTAGTAGTAGCATTGGATGAAAGGTTTACGAAACCAGAAAGGCCAGAGTTTAGCTAATTTGTATTTGCTTTGTTGTTGTATTTAACTCTTAAAACTTTGTCATAAAACCTCTGTTGTCGTAGTCTCTTATGTACATATTTTGTTGAAGCTGGTCTCGTTAAGTCTTTATTTGTTTCATATTGAACACATTAATCTACACATTTGTGTACGTGTGCAGGGTTTGGCGTTTGGTTCAGATCAAATATTTTAGGTTTCCGGGTTTAGATATATAGAATCCGTCAGATATATTAGATTTCAGACCGTTTAGATAAATATATGTACGAGAAAGGGTTACAAGCTTGGTTTCTTTCTAGGCGTTAAGTCTCTTTTGTAAAAACAAAATTTCATTTTTTTTTTTCGATTTCAAACTGCACTAGTTGTAAAAACAATATTTTTTCTTTGAATATAATTTAACATTAGATTCAAAAAAAAAGATAAATATATGTAGGGTTTGGATAGTTGTGGATTATATCCAAAATCTCAAAATTTAGGTTTAGATCGAGTTTGGTATTTTTATCCGAACCAAAGTAAAAACTCTGAAATTAATCCAAATTTAATTTAGATTTTTTCAAGTTTTTTGAAATCAGTTGAAATTGATTGAACAAGTGATTGTAAATAACATACCAAAATAAGTGTCAAATTTTTTGAAATCAATCGAAATTGATTGAACAAGCGATTGTAAATAACATACCAAAATAAGTGTAAAAAATCAGAGATTTCTGAATTTGGTTTAAATATCATAAAATCGAGACGTGAAAACGATAAGTAAAGAAAACTGCGGTAAATAAAAGATTTATTAATCGCGTTCTTTAGTATTAGAAATATATAAGTTCGGATGATTACGAATTAGATGTTATCAAATATTTGGATGATTTTTATATCAAAACCGACTGTTAATTTCAAGTCGGGTTCGAATTTCGGGTTGTTTATATTTTTTCACAAAACGAAAAAAAAAAAATTGTTAAAAAAAAACACAAATCTCGAGTGAGAGAGACAGAGAGTAGTGAGGTCGGTGAGGAAACGGCGGCGTATCTGCTCACACGTTCGGGATGATTTGCAACTGAAGTATATTAAAAAAAAAAAAAACTTAAATCAAGAAAATAGAAAGGTTTTGATTTTTAAACCAAAAAAAAAAAAAACGGCAGAGGAAGAGCCGTTTACGGATTTCTCAACTTCTTCTTCTTCTTTGTGTGACTTATTATTATTATTATTATTCTCAAATTTACAGACTTTAATCAAATCGAAACAAGTTTCTCTGTGTAACGTTTGATTCCCTTAGGTAAGTTTTCTCCTTTTTGATTCTTGTTAATTGATTTCAAATTGACTATTTTGGTTCAACCCAATTTCTCTATGCTTTGAAATTTTGAGTAACTTGTATTTGTTTTGTCTCATCTCCTTGCAACAGTTGTTAAAAAAATGCCTTGTCGGGAGGTAAGATCATGGACATTGAAAGGTTTAGTATCTGCGTTTCTTGATCTCTCTGTAGCTTTCACACTTCTTTGTGCGTCCTGTCTCGTTTATTTATCATCCAAGTTCCTTAATTTGTTTGGTTTAGACCTCCCATGTCCTTGTGATGGCTTATTCAGTAACCCGAATAAGAACAAGTGTTTTCAAGAACGTTTAGGTAACGTTTCTGTGGAAAAGATCTCTTCTGTTCAGAGATCTGTTATAAAGAGAACACCTTTTGATTCGGTTCTGTATAAAGGGGAGATGGAAGAAGAGGTTGGTAGTACTCCTTCTGTGAAAAGGGTTGATTCATGGGTTGAGAATAATGCTTCAGGTTTCGATCTTTTGACCGCGCAGAGTATGAAAAAAGGAAGCTTTAGAGTTAAGAGTAAGCGTTTTAGCTTTTATAAGTCGCCGTATGGTCTCAAGAACCAGTTTCAGGGGAATCTAAGGCGTAAGAACTTTGAGAAATCACTTTATGTTGAGGAGAATGATCCTCTTCTTGTGAAGTCCCAAGGTTAGTGTTTTGGTGTGTTCAAAGTTTGTTTTTATTTTGTAAAGTTTTGGTTTTGGATTGTGAAAGTTTTGATTTTGACAATGTAGATAATGGAAAAACTTTGGAGGATGTGTCATTGAGGAAAAGTGTTTCACTAAGTTCAGTTGGGTGTGAAACTGATACTCATAGTAAACAACCGGAAAGGACATTTTCGTGGGCGGGAGAGGGTACATGTAGTTCCCCTGTGGATATAACTTATAGTGGTATGAGACAAAAGACTATTGAGATTCTAGAGCAAGTGGTTGCAGAAGAACGAGCTGCACGTGCTGCGTTAGCTCTTGAACTCGAGAAAGAGAGAAACGCTGCTGCATCTGCTGCGGATGAGGCTTTGGGTATGATATTGCGGTTACAAGAGGAGAAAGCTTCGGTAGAAATGGAAGCTAGGCAGTATCAGAGGATGATAGAAGAGAAGTCTGCTTTTGACGCGGAAGAGATGAGTATTCTTAAAGAGATATTGCTGAGGAGGGAGAGGGAAAAGCATTTTCTGGAGAAGGAAGTTGAGAATTACAGGCGAATGTTTCTTGAGAATGAGCAACCTCTGCCTAACACACCAGATTCAAAACCAGCTCATATCGAAAGATCGCCAACGCCACAAAAGAGTACTGAGCCATGGGATGACATGGAGTCTGCGGATGTGTCTTCTGGATTTGAGATCTTCACTAATCAGATGGACAGTCGTTTACTTGCGCTTGGAAGCAGCTCAGTGCTTACTGGAGATTATGATAATGCTGATTGGGTTGAGAATGATAACGAAATCAAGGTGAATAGAGTAGACCAAAAGCATGAGTGTGATCAGTCAAGAAGTGATCCATTTGATGTAGAACTGAAAGAAAGAGAAGAGGGTGGCAGTTCATTTCCAGAACTAGTAACAAGAACTCGCGACATCGCTGATTCGAAGAAGCTTGGTGAGGAGTACTCTCCTGACATTGATTGCCATGTACATGATATCCATGTAGTGACTAATGAAGATAACAAAGTGCAACTGACTGTTGTTCCTTCTGACCATGCCATTCAAGATCTCAAACTAGACAGGTCACGAAGTGTTTCAAATACAAGTTCTGGACTTCCCCCGGCATTTCCACCAGGACAAAGGAACATGTCTCCAAATATGCGCAGAAATTCAATGTCCGCTGTTGACTATGAAAGACTGAAGATAGAGAGTGAAGTCGGGTTGCTGAGAGGACGGTTGAGAGCTGTACAAAAGGGAAGAGAGAAGATCAGTTTCTCTACTAAAGAACAGAGCAAATCGCTGGTGCATCGTCATGGAGATAAGACAAGCCGGTTTTGGGAGGCCAGAAGATCTGGACCTCTGGACACTTCTAGCCCTTCATCCACAATGGTGAGTTTCATCGCTGTTTGGTTTGATTCGTGGCGCAAAAAAAGTGCCAAAACTACTCTCTTCGTATCACTTAGTAATGTATATACACAGTTCTTGCTTCATTTGCTTAACAAGTGGCTGCATCTATTATGGTTTAAAATGTGCTTTTTGCAGGTAAAGGCCATGTCTATGACACTGGACCTGCATAGTGCTTGAAACTGCAAAGGTATGTACTTACTCGAATAACACGAATATACACCTAGTGGATACACGATCGTAGTTTGTACAATCTCTTCCAAAAACTCTAATGTTTGAGGGTATGAGAGATTTCTCTTCTTGTGTTTGTCACAAACATTGTACTCCCAACGACGTCGTTTCGGAATTAAAGTGACACTTTTGTTGTGGCTGTCTTAATCATACTATGGTCGGGTGAAAAGTTTTAGTTTCTTTATCTTTCAATTCCTATGCTAACACTTTGTTTGTATATTTTGAAATACCATTTAAAATTAAAAAAATGGCATTATTATACTTTGCAAAAACTATTCATAATCTCTATTGGCCTTTGAGCTTAAGTCATTTACATAAAATGTAGGAAATATTCTAACATATTGAACTTTTGAAGTTGGAGTTGGTGCAACAGAATTATAATATTTTCTCATTAAAATACAAACACTTTTTTGTTTTTCTATTTTATATGGTTACTAGTAACGACAAAGAAAAGAACAATTAATTAGCAGACAAAAAAGAGAGAACCACTTGATTATGTGGTTGTAATAAGGAATACAATGTGTTCAACTCCAAATGTGCGAACCAAATTATGAATATCTTTCTTTTAATGGAAACTTAAAAATGATATAAGAAGTAATTGTGACATTAACTTTGAAAGTTAAATTAAGAAGAATGAGGAAGGGAGAGAGCATCCCAAATGAGATCCATATCCAAAGAAGGCATCCTACTCAATTGTACACCATCTCCTTCCATTACTTCCTTATGGCTTTTGTGTTTCTTTGTCATCACTACTTCTCCTGATGGCTCCATCTTCATGTGGTTCTTTGTCTCCAATGATTCCACTTTTGCTTGAGGAGGAGACTTACTTACTTGGGAGGAGGAGATTTGTTGAATCTTGGACTCCAAAAGCGAGGCGATCATGCATCGCAAAGACCCTGACTTGAGCTGATGTTTAAGGTCAGGAAAGTTGAGGTGCGCGAATTCGCCACGCAAGATATAAGCTGCTGTATCATAAGCCATTGCTGCTTGCTCAGCGGTTTCAAAAGTGCCTAACCAAACACGTGTTCTGTTCCTTGGTAGCCTGATCTCTGCCACCCATTTGCCCCAATGTCTTTGTCTCACTCCTCTATACAGCTTTGTTGGTGTAGTCGTCTGAACAACCTTTCTTGTTTTTGACTTCATGGGTTGAGTCTTGGTGGTGCTTAACCAATAGTTTCCAAACCCTTTTGAGGGATAGTTGGTTAAGAGGGTTTTGTTGATCTCTACCCACTCGTTTCTGGTTTCATCTGATTGATAAAGAGAGTTTGGGATGTATTTATGGTAAGGGCTCATGTTGGTATCGGACTGAGATAGCTCTAGAAGCTTTGGCTCTTTGAGAAACAAGGTAAGGTTTGGGGGTTTAGAAGGATCATGATCAGGACGTTGATCAAACTGAGGAAAAGATTCTAGAAAGTTCCAAGGAACAGAAGCTACCGGAGATTGAAGACTAGAAGAAGTAAGCTCATGATCATGAGGCGGCGAGAGAAAGTAACTTGGAGTCGAAGAAGGAGGAGGAAGAAGAGGAGATTTCATACCTTCCAAGAATATTGGAACACCGAGAAGTTGTGGTGGCGGTGAAGAACTCAAGATCCCGTAGATACCAGAAGACAAGAGCTTGTCGTGCATGAAACTAGTTTCTATTTTAGGAAACTGTTCTTCCATGTTCGGTTTTTTTGTTTGTTTGTATGTTTTTTTTGAGGTTTTGTCTAGAGAACGAAGAAGGCAATACTCTTAATTTTGAAGAAATGGGTGGAGAATAAATGTTTATATATAAACGATAATTAAGGAGAGTGTTGTGTGTGTATTGGTGTAATGATCGATCATGTGGAGATAATATTAGAAAATTTCAGGGAACCTAACTTTATTTGTCTGAAAAAAAACATTATCGTCTGACTCAGATCTACGACTCTGCCAAGCTTAATTTGTACATATGTAAACTACACACAACACACAATTAAAGAGTTCATTAACACTTGTAATTAAACTATAGTTTCTTTTAGTATATAGTATTTTGTTTAATTAATTGACCTTTATTTTTTCTTATCTTGCGACTTGTTCGTGGCTCGCATTGTACGTTCGCCTTTTAATTACAACTTATCAATCCAAACGTGACAGCTCAGCCCTAACTCATTTAGGTGTGTTTATGGCCATATATTTATTGTTTTGTTGCTAAAAAAGAGTTTATATTTTAAATTATACGAATGATGTTGTTGTTGGATACCAACGTTGTTTAATTTTCCTTTTGGTTATCACTTTACATAATCTTTTTTTTTTAAATAGAATTAAATGGTTGTGTACTAATATTACAATATGTAATACAAATATATATGATGACGATCTAATTCTTCTCGAGAATTATCGTAATTCGTATCAAATTAGATAGAGGCTAATCGTATTAAAGATATAGTTTACTATTTAACATCTTTTTATGAAAATAGTTCGTGTAAAACCTTAAGCTTCAAGCATCCTTAAGCCTCTTTTCAATAAACAAATCATTCATACTGTATTTTAATTCATTATCCTCTTCTATTTAATTTGTTGCTCTTGGTGTTTTTAATAAGGTGAAACCTAGGAATAAGACTTTGGACCACAAGGTATGTGACTTTTCTTTTTGCTAGGCTTAATAAATTTTGGTTTTTCTAATGCATACATTTTTTTGTTTAATTTAGAGATTTCGTTTTCTAAGGGTCATAATTGTAATCCAAATTACTACATATATGTCCCGACACATATTGTATTATAATTATTAAACTTGTTAAAATTAGAGTCCTTAACAGTTGTATGGATCTAATTATTGGAACGATGTGATAACATAACTAACTAGAAAACATTATTGATGATAACATATATATAACTGGGTAACAAATTTTAATTTATCAACCACATATAATATAGAGCAGATAATCACCACAAATGCTTATAATTAGTGAGCCCATAATTATTAATATTATCATCAAAATACAATGATTAGCTTCAAGTTTTGGCCTCTAATTAAATCTTTAATTGAATCCAACTAATGCGGAGGTCATGGGGTTGTCTTCTTTTCCTCTCTAAGAACATCAATTTATGTCTGTCTCTTAATTAGTTTGTATAATAATATTATAATGATGTTTCTACCCTCTTAACTTTGTACATAGTAATCGGATTTATAAACCATTAGCTAGTGACTTTTACAATTGCTTGCAAGAACAATTCATATTTTCTAAATCAAGTAGCTCACTGTTTTCACTGTCAATTTACGTTTTGATTTTTGACTAAACTTACTAATCAAGATATAAGTTTCTTTAGTACGTAATATAATATGCCCATAACATAATGATAAGAGCTCATTATGTTTCACAAACATAAACATGGTAAGATATGTTAGGGTCGATTTAGAAGTTTTGCTATTCTAGTTTGAGATGATATATACGCATTTTGCCCTTTGAGATGACTATTGGGACGTTTATGAAAATAATTATTATTATTTTGATTTGTGGTAAAGAAACGTTTAAGACAATATAAAATCAAAGAGGTGAGGTTTAATTAAGAGGGAAAAAGTAGTTGACCGAAAACAAACAAGACTAATTAAAAATGTATCTTACAAAAAATGAAAATAAAATAAGAAGCCTTACTAGGAAAAATAATTACTAACAAAAATTTAACTAATCTAGTTATATGATATATTAATTTCCAGATTTCAGTTTGTTAGACCATATTTTTTGTTAAGAAATATATGGCAATAGGTAAATATGTAACTCTCAAAGTACTTTTGTGTATGTATCTTGGTAATCGGTTTTGTCAATATAACTTTGTTTCTAAATTAAAAGAATAAAATTATTAGTGTTATGTTTTATAGTATCGATTTTAACCAGTAAAGGTCACCGTGAAATTTGTTTTAACCATGTATATACCAAGTTTTATATTGAAAAAGGCTATCTATTATATTAGAACTTTTCAAAAATAAAAATATTTTTTGTCATTGTCTCATCATTTAAAATTTAGTTACTCTATATAAATTAGCAAGTTGGAGCCACTATACGCCATTCTTATACATCATCTAAAAAAAAATACTAATTTAAGGAGATTTATTTACCAAATATTATAGCTATTTTTATATCATTTATGTATATGTTATAAAAATATTAAAAACATAATATAAAATAAAGAGAACATATATATTAGTGTTACCGTCATATGCATTCTATTGTTAGCTAAATCATTTTTCTATTTTCATTATTATTTTCTAAAGAAAACAAATTCGATCTTAAAACATTTTACATAGTTGATTAAAAATAATAATTTTACATCTTAGTATTTTATAATAAAAATATAATAAGCTTGATGAATAAATGGAAATGCTTTGCAATTTTCTGTGTATTTTCTTTTAATAAAAACTACACATTCTACCTCTATATCCAATAATTATTTTATTTTATTTTTAAATTAATTAATATATTGAAGGCAACATGTTCTATTAAATTTTATTATTGTCTTCAATTTTTTGAGCTTAAAACTCAAAATCAACGGATAGAGGAATTCACCTCCACATATGATAAAAACCTTGATAGAAAATATAGCAATTAGGATCTAGCACTATCACTGTATTTGAATGAAATAAAATTCATATTCATACGAAATGTGTTGTTTAGAATACTATATTAGATTTATACTAATTTAAAAGCGTTGAAAATAAATAAAATTGTTGATGGAAGAGGCATGCATATCCCTTTGAGCTCTATTATTTCAATTGCTGACTTTTGTTGGTCATTATCGTAAGTAATGCATTTTAATCACTATCTAATTATATTACACACAAGTACACTTTGAAATATATTTCTTAATTACTCTAGTAATCTTGCAAGAAGAGTTTTCGTATATATCTAGCTTTTATATTCTAATAGAACATTTATAATCTAGCTTAACAAAGACTTTAATTAATTAAGGGCAAGTTGAGTAATTAAGATATATATATTTTTTTTATCATAATCACTTTTCAAACATATATATCATATGCGTCTTTCTATTTTTGAAAATTTTGATCGATTCTAATCATTTGACTATCTTAATTAAATTAAAGTTGATAGCATATATCAAAAATCTTAATATTTTTTAGTGTTGCAAAGTAAAGAGTATAATATAGAAATGCTTCTTACCCAATGAATTAGCAAAGAGCATTAGTAAACGACTATTCATAATTAAGAGCATTAGTGTAGAAAGATTATTATTGCTTTGGTTTAAGTAAATTTAACTGATGTTGCCATGTGAATTAGTGGATACTCTGAAATCTAATTTGGGATTCGAATATATGAACTCTTTAAACTAGATGAATCTAGATTCTTCTCTATTAGTTTATTTTAAATTTTCAAATATTCTTTTACCATTGCTTAAGACAACTACAAAACAAAACTTATAATGCTTTTGTGAAATGACAAAACACGTCACATTACCTATTTAGGGAATCATTCGTATGAGTTTGTTTTAGGATAAAAAATAAAGTTCTAAGTAAAGAAGTTGAATTAATAAGCAAAGGCAACTAAGTAGCATGTGAGGCTGACTTCGAAAAGCAATGCGCAGTAGAAGAGAGCCAGAAGGCAAATGCAATGTTGGAATATCTCATCATGCACTAATGCACATGAGAATGAGCTAATTAGTTTTTAATTACTTTTGTAAATTAATAATTAAATATAACCATGTTTGTAAAGTTACATCTAATACATGTTGTCTTTACTCCTTGTCCAGATACAACGTATTAGTAAAAATAAGCATCTTAATTATGTACTCATAATTGTGAACTATAATCAAATTAAAATTCAATATTATTGTGAATGGATATCTTAAATTTTATGAAGTCCGGTATTAAATTATTTTGTAAATTTATAAGTATGTATATTTATACGTTTTTGTTGTTATATATGTATCTTTGTGTTTTCATTATTGTTAAAATACTAATTTAATTGTTACGCATGTTATTATTCAGAGCTTAATCTATATTTAATTTCTTCATCTTGATAATATTCGAATTGAAAACTGAGATTTGTCTTCATCTTAAAAAAAAATTATTTCCAATTATTTTCGAATCGAGAACCGATATCTTATTAGAGATTGCAACAATGTAATTAAGAGATTAGACGAAAAGAAGATGGTAATAGAAAAATGAATGATAAGAAAATAGTGATTGAGTGTTTAACGAAAATAAAGAGGATGAAAATATGTTACAAAATGAATGATGCTGTTTTATTTTCTATTTAATGCTATTTGTGTTTCAATTTGAAGTTTATCGTTTATATGTTAACATATTAGAAATAAATTAGAAGAAAAATACTACAAAAATTATATCGTGAAACATGACATCTACACGAAACCCAAAAAAATAAACACTTATACCATTTATGGTATTGAGTTTATGATGCATAAACATTTGTTTGTAAGCCCTTTAGATTGTGTTCTTCCTATTTAGGTAAAAATGCCTAGATTTGAGACAGCATTTTCTGTAAAAGCAAAATTTGCTGAAACAAACAAAGCACAAAGACGAAAGAGAATAATACTGTATCATGTATTCATGTGCTCAATGCAATGAACATCTGATTTTTCTTTTATTTAATTTATTGTGGCATATAGAGAAGATGAGTGAGGAGTATATAAGCCAAAAACAACCAAAAAGCAAATGATTTTGGGAACAATAAAGAGACACACGTGTCTTTTGTCTTATGACCAACTCAATTTGTTATTTTTTTTTATCTCTTGAATCATTTTTATCAAACATAAAATTTGTACTAAGTTTTAGTAAGGTATTGTATAGTTCTCAATTGGTTTAGTTCAGTTATTTATAAATGGAGTTCATAATATGGTATTTTGTAACCATGCTAAAGTTAATTAATAGTCAAATTCTTATACTTAATTAGGTGAGAGCTATTTTCTTTGGTTAATCTCAAGAAAAAATGAACACTCAAAAGTTCAAGATTAAAATTGCTATTTTCATATTTAATTATTTATCGATGCGGTTAACTTATTAGAATTTAGAATACATTCACTACACTTTCCAAATTTTCCTTGTTTTATAACAGTTTCCATATATATAAAAAAAAGAAATACCTTCGAATAGCACCAAATTATGTTTTATGGACAATAATAACACACTCCATAAATTTCCAAAACTAGCACTAATTATCACAATTATATATTTTAAACAGTTTTTAAGATTTTTTTTAAAAGTTTGGCTTGACTATTTTACATTTAGGATATAGTTTTTACGGGCAAGGTTTATTGTTTAGAGTTTAAGATTTAATTTTGAAATATAGAGTTAAATTTGGAAATAGGAAAATGTGTGCTAAATTTGAAAGAAAAACTTAAATTAGTGCTATTTTTTTAGAGTTTCTCTATAAAAAAAAACTAAAATGCATTTTTATAGAAAAATTAAAATAGAGTGGGACAGCATAAACTTTCTCAAGACAAAGAATCTAAAGAAAACCAATAACGTAAACTGAAAGTGACACGCCTCTCCAGCAAAATGGTACCACATGTCATTCATCTGTGGTTACTTCCACATTCTTATTTAGTGGTACTTCTCACTTAAATCTCTAAATTAATCGAGTATCATATGCAAATCAAAGATTAGCATATGATAATAATGATTAGTTATCTAATTTTTAGTGAAATATTTTTTCACGATTTTCTAATAGAGATAATTGACAATCTAAGTTTGTTATTTTTCACATTTATATATATAATATAATTAGTATAGTTCTTACCTTATAATCACTACAAATGAACAAAACTGAATATGTTTGCGAATTCTCACAATTTTCTTTATTCTTTATTTAGATTAACTCTTAGCATAAATAATTGACATGATTCTCCCATGCTTGAAAACCTCATTATTCAACTTAAATTTTTGAGAACATAATTTGCTTGGTTAATCAAATGTGTTTTACGTTTGATTAGTGTGCTTAACTTGATGTGTGTTGTACTTTCATACAGTATAAATCATACTATTATATTTTTTAATTTTTTTTTTAACTAATAACAGTTTATTGTGATTTTATGTCTCAAATTTAAATCTAACTTTTTTTTGTCATTTATTTCTTATATTTGCTAATTTTTTTGCTTATACTTTGCTTTTTTATCAACTTGTTTTATTTTTTCTGTTTTCAAATTTAACAATTATAGTATACATTTTTAAAGTTGTGATATATCAGTTAACACATAAAAAAAAGCTTAATTCAAAGTTCTAAAGTTTTTTTGATATAACTAAAGTAAATGTCAAACTAGTAATTATTTCTCCTTAAAAAAATCTGTCACAATACTACAGATTTTTAACCAGAAAAATTAATTTGAAACAACTATGAAAAATAAATTTGTCACATTGTTATATCAAGTCAGTCATATATTACAAAAGTATGTGGTTTCTCTGTAAATAAGTCTGTCGTAAAAATTAAATTTGTCACTAGTTATACAGTCACAATGTGTTAAAGTTAAGTTCAATAGAACAATCGTCTAATCAAAATGTAAGACTAACATTTTAGTCACTATTGATTAGTCGTGCTTTCGTATGCAAAATGTACTGGTTTATGTCAATACAAGAAACGAAACGAAATGGTTGGACTTCACACTAAAGTATTAGATAAAAGTGGATCTAAATGGTTTAATATGTCTGAAAAATTAGCTGAAGTATTGAAACCATAATTAAATTAACTTATGAAAATATGAGTTAAATAAAAACATATTTTTTGTTTGTCAAGAAAAAGAGTTAATTGACTAGTAGCTATAAAAATATTAAATTGTTAATATATTACTTTTCTAATCTTATTAAACATAAGATAACAGCAGATATGGTCACAATACTTAAATTTTTGAAAAAATAATGTTTAGTGTTTTGAAATTTTATGTTGTAATGTTTTGTAATAATATCAAACATAGTTTTAGTTTTCAGAACGACTTAAATTTTACTAAACAAAATTTTGGAAATTAGGAATGCTGTAATAATATTAAACATAATTTTATGTTGTAATGTTTTGTTATAATATCAAACATGAATGTATGATTATACAAGAGTCACTGAAGAAGTCATAGGGTTACGTTATTATCATATTCAAAACTTTTTTGTATTCAATTAATTCGTTCTTCATTTTTGTAAGTTGCACTCTTTCTCTAGCACTATGCTCCAACACTTTAAAAACTTTCACTACTAATACTGTCGTGAGCCACCAACCATTCTTCTTTAATAGATAGGTTTCAAGCTTATAAACCTCGTTCTCTACTCTTGATCATATTCAATTTTAGAGCTTTTGTAAATGTAGTGTAATCTGGAAAGCATCCATGGATACTACTAGCTAGATATGCCATCAAGCTGAATAATGGTTTTTTCCGATTTGATTCCAATGTGAGATTCATTATCAAAAGCACTTATTATAAACTTTCTTTTTGCTAAGAATGTAAATATTTTATTAAAATTAAATGAAAATTTAGTTTAGGTTACAATCCAAGATTATAAACCTATAACAAATAGTCCTATGGCAAAAAAAAAAAAAAGTAAAAACATGGAAGCATAGATAACACACCAAAGATTTCGGTCCATCCACTCAACCAAAGCAACAAAGCTAAAGGAGATAGATGAAGCGATTACGATTTTGATGTTCTTTCCGAATCAGATACAAGAAAATAAGGGCAATGCCGGATGAAGACGCTACTATAAACACACTTGTTATAAACACACTTATCATATTCTTGTTGACCACTATATATATCACATTTCAAGGTTCTAAGATGATGTAAGCCTGAATTTTAGCAAGGGGCCTAGGAGTCTTCTAATTTTCTTTGTTCTTCACAGGTCAACGCAAGTCAACAGTCATCAAACTGTTGATCCGTTTTCTCCGTACACTTTGTTCCCAAATTCTTTTTTATCTAAATTTGTAATTTGATCTCAATTTGATTAAAATGCTTAGTGAATCTAAAGTGTTGGGTTTATTTTAATATGGCTGATTAATCAAAACCAGCAGGTTATTTCAAGAACTGGTTTATTCAGGTTTCAATTAGACATTGTAAAGTGTCTAAGTGATTGCGAAATGATTCATTGAGGAAACATGCATGAGTTCCACATGATGGACCAACCTAACGTTAAGAGTCATGAATACAATTTGATCATGTAGTAAAGCTGGAATTTCAGAGTGATAGATTGGCCTATAAACATTTGAAGTTGATGGTAAAATACGTGTTTATTGTGGTGTGATTGTAATTGCTTGAATGTTTTTTTTTTGTTTTTTTGGGTAATTGGCTGCAAGCCTGCAAGTGATTTGTTGCATGTGTGAGAACGTACACTCATTGTAATGAACCCCAATCAAGGAGACAACGTTTACACCATTTCAGAAAAGACTATGTAAGAACACTGAATACAGAGGTGTCTTTATGTTGAAAACTTAAACGCGTGTGTGAGAACGTACACTCATTGGAGTACCACTCCTTTAAACCATCAAAGAGATGTCATTCATTGAGCAAACATGCATCAATGTAGTCATTCAGACAACACTTTCCGGTAAACAGAATCTGAGTTTAGCCTAAAATGCTTTCTAGAAAAAACCATTCAACTATCATAAACTTCAGTACAGATCAAAGACCAAAAAGATGTACTAAAAGTCTAAAAGCATCAAACTGCATCCTTATAACAGAGAAAGCATAACATTATTCAGACGGATAGAGATGTCGGTAAATATATCTCACATCGGATAGGAAGAGAATTAATCGATGATATATAAGACCTAAGGGAATCAAACTAATAAACTAACCTTTGGGAATGTTCTACCTTAAGGTCTTGTGGATATGATTAGGGTCGGGTAGAACATCCCCAAATATTGATCGATTAGTTTGGGTTCCCTTGGGTTTTATATAGCATTGTTTCATTCCCTTCCTAACAGACGTGCGATATTTTTACCCACATCTCTATCACAAACCGTCTAACTAACCTACCCGATTCTGTAACATTCTGAGAGTAAGAGTTAAACATATATAGACAGAGTAACAAGAACTATAGTGTCCCAAACGAACACAGTATAATTGCTAGTCTACTTCATAATAACAGATCGAAGAAAGACCAGAGAAGATTTCACCATAAGCATCAAATTGCAATTTCCACTCAGAGCTCATATTTAAGTGAACATTTTAACACACAGTAGCAAGAACTTCAAGAAACAGTATAATGGTAAATCTACTTCACAGCAGATCAAAGATAGACAAAATATGATTTCACCATAGAGCATCAAATTGCAATTTCAACACAGAGACAGCATAAATGGGATTCAGACAAGAGTCATAGCTCAGATCTAAATAACCCAAATTTCAAACATAAAGTCTACAATATGCTCAAAAAGACAAACCAAAAGGATCATCAAAATCACTTCTTAGCAGCTCCTTTGCCTCCAGCTCCACTACCAGAACCAGCAGCTGCAGCTTGAGCAGCCTTCTTAGCTGCCTTCTCTTGCAATGCTTTCCCATCTCTGAATCATTCCATTACACAACAACCAACCACACAGACCAAATCATCACACAAACATCAGATCAATTCAACTAAAAAACCCATTTCTTAGATTTGTCTTTACCTCTCACGACGTTGCTCCGGCGTCAGACCATCGTCGGCGTTCTTACCTTTTCCTCCAGCACGAGCCGCGGCTCTTTCACGGTCACGCTCTCTCTGACTTCCACGTGACGATCCCAAATCTTGAATCAAAGAAAGCAACAAAACTTTGCTCTAATATCTTCACAAATTCAGAATCTTTATAAAAAACCCATAAGCAAGATTCGAGAAAAAGTCATCAAGATCTAATCTTTGCACAAAAACAGAGTCAGAGAATCAAAACAGAGCAATCTAGAAACAAAATAAAAACCCTAAATTTGAGATCTTTTTAATCCCTAACCCTAACAAAGATTCGTAGATCGAGCAAGAAACAGAATGAAGCAAGAAAAGGATATGAGTCATGGCTGAAACGGCGATTTCCAAGTGGGTTCTCTGTAAAGTCAACAATGCTGCCGAAGAAACGCAATGCAGAGGCAGAGGAGGAGGATTTGAGGAAAAAGATTGGATTTTTAATTTTTATATATATCGCAGCGGATTTGTGTTAAGTCGACTTTGTCGTGCGCCTCTCCTTTAACATATTCTCTAATTTCTCGATTATATTATTCCTTTTCTAATATACTTTTACCAACTTGAGAGAATATGTTTAGATTTTTTTGAAAAAATAATTTCATACATTTAAAATAAAAATAATGCAATATATAAAGTAAAATTTGCTCCAATAATACCATAATTACTTTTTGAATAATAACACAATTGTACCCATTTTGTTAAAATTATTTATTTTTGGTGACATTTACACATGTGATTTAGAATTTTACAAAGTTAAGTTTCATATTAATGATTTTGATTAATTTTAGTGTATAATTAATTTTTGTGTAGAAAAATAATTTAGATTTTTAATTATAAAATAGAATATTATAAGCTACATGATATTAATTGTGTAACCTAGATTAATTACACGTATAAATTAAGGTTTTTGTTAAATCTACGATTTAAATTAACACTTTCTTTCATTTCTTATAAAGCACACATATTCTTATAACATTTTAGTAAATAATATTGCACTATCTACTATACTATATTTGTATACACATTTGATGTATGAACATATAAATGATGTATATATATACGTATAAATATCTGTATATTTGTATAGATATATATCATCTATGACGTTAAATATATAAGCAAATTGCACAAAATATGCTTCAAATTTGCTTGAAACATATTTAAAATATGCAAAAAGGATTAATCTGTTTCTCTATGTACATGAAACAACTAAATTTTCAATAAAATATTGATAGGTCTTATACTTTCTACTTTCCCCGATGGTTAAAAGTTAGTCTTACATAAACTACTTCAAAAAAACATAACGAATGCATGTAAATGATTTGATCATGCTCTAAAGCCGGTGCTCGCCATCAATAATAAAGGAGATATTGGTAAAAGGAGCATTTTCCATATCAGTGAGTTGCTTTGTGGTCGAATAGATTATGCAATCTTAAAAAAAAATATTGGTTTCGAATTGTTAATGTACATGTAAAAGGCTATATGAGAAACATTAATAAACGACATTGCTGTATTTTTGTGTTACCTCATAAAGCGATTTCCCATTACTGAATAAAAAGCCCATCGATCTTTCAATAAAATAATTTTTTAAGAAATGCATTCCTTCTTGGTCCAAAAGAGTGTCTTGGTTCCCATAGAAACTACATTCATAAAAGGCAGCTTTGTGTCTATAGACTTATAAAACTACCGTTTGTGCATCATCTGCGTCAGGGTTTGGTGTCATAACCGTTTTTTATATACCAAGCAAATGACAAACAAAAATCTTAAATTAAATACTCAATTTCATAGGAAAATAAATATTTTGAGAGAGAGATAATTTAATTAGAAACCATAAAACAGAGAAATAATGGATACCATAAAACAGATAAAATATTTTTTGTTAGATACATCACTAAATTTATATTAAACTATCCACAACACAAAGAGGCAACAATATCTCAAACTTTTATCTAGCTAAGAGAGACGTTCATTAGAAACCATAAAGTAGAGGAAATTTGTTATTAGATTCTTTATCAAATATAAACTATCTTGGAAGGATGATGAAAAAATATAGACATAGCTGATCAAAACTTCAGTTTTGACATAATGTTTACTACAACAATTAACAGTTACAATACAACTACTTTTGTGTCCCAAGTACTAGTAAAAAAAATCGCTACAGTCACTTGGCTATTTGTGGTTGTGCCTTAATATTCGTGGCTATAATATCGTTTATACGTTGGATAACAAACAAATTAATTTAAACATTGTCCAGTGTCAGATGAACTCTTTAAGTTATACATTTGAAAAACTTTTTTCCATGCAATATGATCGAAAACGAGGCTTCTTTCTATCGTTCTTATATGGTTATGAAGGTGAAAAAACATCATTGATTTGCATGGAAAAAAAAATAGAGAAATGGATTCAAGATGTTCCAATAGAAAAACATCAAGACGAATAAAAAGATAAAATAAGAATTTCCACCCAAAATGGAAAAAAACAAACATCTCCTTAGTCTTTAACAACAAGTATCATTCAAATGAGTTTCAAGAAGAGGATAATAGTTTTAAAAAATGGAAATGACAAATTGACAATCATGCAAATTAGGTGTGCATTTTAAGATTGGTCTTGAAGAGAGCACTTGAGATGTAAGACCTCTTTAAGCTTCCGACCAAGAGCAAACGCCAATGGTGGAGGGACAGCATTCCCAATCTGCCTATGCTTGTCCTTGATCTTCCCGGAAAACTCATACTTATCCGGAAACCCCTACAGTTTTTCATAAGACCATATTTTCACTTAAAAGAGTATTGTGTCCATACACTAAGATTACTTAAATGTTATTGATGTTATATTGCTACAAGACTGAGTAGGAAGGATCGAACATAAGAGTTTTTATTACCTGAGACCGGGCGCATTCACGGACAGTGATAATTCTATCCTGGTCAGGGTGGAAGCACATTCCCACAAAACCCATGGGCTGAGGATCAGTGGTCGAAGTGGGTAAGTTTCCTTGCCAAGCCAATCTTCCATAGAGTCCCTTATATTTCTTGGGATCATGACCTTTGTTTGATGCAGCAAAAGGAATCAATTTTTCCACCATCCCGTTTGATAACACCACCTGTAATATTATATGAAATTACATATATATATATATAATGATGTGTAGATTTAATAAGAATTAGTGGTATGTTTATATAAGAGTACGACTTACGTTTTCGTCGGGCAGGTCACGCCAATGAGCACCTGGCCTCTTAGGGATTTTCTTGCAGCGAATAAGATTTAGTTCGTTCAGCGTTTTACAGATATGATCTGTGAGAACGCTCATGTTCTCTCTCATCTTCTTCTGAAACCACGAGACTGGACGATCTTTATACTACAAGACACCAAAAACCATAACTTATTGTTATTATATATGTAAGGTAATTGTATTTAAGACAATGTTCTTGCGGTGGTAGTATATTAAATCATACCTTTCTATGTATCTCGGATTCTCCGTTTCCTACAGCTGGAAGATCGCCAATCGCGTCTCTCACCGTCATTGAGCGGTAAGGTGCACCGAATTTAGTAGTTTCAACAGCATTATAAACTAAGTCTTGAGACGACAGTTTGATTTTAAACCCCGGATTATCAAACACATGCATTGGCTCTGGCCATTCCGGGAGAACTTCATTAGGTGCAGCTGCCCATATGAAAGCTCGTTTACGCTGTTGAGATATCCCAAATGCACCTGCCTCCAACAGTCCAAATCTTACCTACATATGTCAACATACTTGTAATATGAAAACCATTGCTCTTGTTGCATATGTCGCCAAGTTTTACTAAAGAGCAATGGCTTGTGGAACAAAAAGACCCAAAACTCAAAAATAATATCATTAGGAAATAAAATGGTAATTACTTGATAGCCCATTTCAAGAAGAGACGCGAGAATGAGCTTAAATGTACGTCCATTGTGGTATGATATTAAGGTCTTCACATTTTCTAGCAGAAAATACTTTGGCCTGAAGTAATCAGCAAATGACAAGTATGCTGATATCATTTCACATTGGACTTTACTCCAAGTGCCATCGGCGAACCTGTTCATACGAGAAAACCCCTGCCAAATTCTCCAGATTAACAAGCCTTTTCAATTTTAATGAAAAGTTATATCAAAGAACAAGAAAAGTAAAACAATACTCTAAAATATTTACCTGGCATGGAGGGCCTCCGGTGATGAAATCTACTTGACCAGGCAATGGAAGAGCACTCTTATGGTTTTCATCTAGTTGAAGTTTAGCTGCCTCCTCATGAGAAACACAATCATCTAGGTCTCCACATTTCTCCATTATAGACCTATTAATCAATAATCTCAAACAACTGATCCCAAAACAAGAAAAAAAAACCCTACATGGAAGTGTATTTAAAGTGTATTTTTGTTTTCGGTTCGCAATTTACCTGAGAATCGCGTTGCAGTTATCGACAAAAACCGTTGCCTCGGGATGGTTTTTTCTGAAAGCTTGTGCAGCTGGCTCTTCATACTCTATTGCCCACTTTGTTTTGGATACACCTTGTGTGGACATAAACCATGCACATGAATGAATACAAGTTGTTCAAGCGTTTCGAAAGATAAAGTGTTTATGACTAGATATAAATACATACCCGCCTTTTCGAGTCCATAAGACAGGCCACCACATCCAGCAAAAATATCAAGTGTAGCTAGACGCATCTCTTTGGGTATCTCATCAGCCTTCACAACCATGCTAGAGTCAGTTTCAGTACCTTCTATTCCCTTCCCTTTCTTTTCTCTTAGAAGTTTCTCATCTTTAATCTTAGAGAACTTCAGCTCTATACTCGAAGGCAACTGTTACAAGACAGTTCAGAGAAACAAACACTTCAGCTTTTTTGTCTGAACCAATACTAATCATAATCTTTAAAAACTATGTAAAAAATTAATTAAAATATTTACCTGCTTGAGAGAATGATTAGAGGAGTCATAGAAGAGCTCACAGAAGAATATATGGTTTGATATTGGATACTCACTACATAAAGGCATATAGTTTTTCCTCCTTACTTCACATTTGCCATTTATAGCCTCTGGAGGGAGAACAAATGTGTCCTCGCTATAATAGATCTAAACAATTGCCAAAAATAGATAAGATTATTAGATAAAATCTTAAAACATTAACAAATACTTTACGTAAGAAATAGTTGTTACCTCTTGGATGTCTGATCTATAAGCCTTCTCTTCAGATATATCCTCGGGTCTATAAAACCTTCTCAAGTTTACTTCAAAACAAGTATTATAACCTTGTCTTGGTTCCTTTAGGACAATAACATCAAGTAGTTGACACACGACAAAAGCTTTTAGCCCTATGTTCTTCCCATACTTGAACTTTTCTGTTCTTGTAACCTTCTTGAGTCCATCTTTCGTTATGTATTTGGGGATAACATAAAGAAAATCTCCGGCAGAGTACTCGATCCCATTGGAGAGGAAACCTGAGTTTGTAGCATTGAGTTTAGTTTTGGACTTTTCCTCTTCGTCCTCCCTGATCTTGCATGAACTGCAGAACCCTGAACCGAGACCCATGTCTTTTCTTGGAAGACTAAAGAATCCTCCTCTCTCAGGTGAGTACAAGCTTTTGCAGTAGTACTCAGTTGGCAAATCTTTAGCTTTTCTTTCTTCTGCTCTTGCCCGGTCAAGCTCATCCGCAGCCATGTTCTCTTTCCTATATTGATGACCCCATGGCCTTGACCGAATCTCCAAATTGATGGCTCCTTTAATTTCCTCGAGCGGAATGGTGAGGCATTCGCTAGTCAAGAAAAGTTCCCTTTCGTTAGCAGCTGCCTCTAGAACAGTCTTGGATCCTCTTTGTAAGAGTTTCCCATGTAGCAATTTGCACTGATCTAAACTCTCGAACATGTACTCTACTAAGTATATCACCGAAGTTTCTTCTTGATAAACATCTAAGATGACAGCACCACCAACAGCAACCTTTTCACCTCCAACAAGAGCTTGTCCATAAAGAGGCTCACCATTACAAGTTTCTCCAAGAATCCCACCTTCCCATCTTATTTCCATTTTCCCACAACTACCTCGGATTTTCATAGGAGTATGAGACTTTTCAACCTCAACAGCTTCTACTACATTGTCCTCTTCTTCATTCTCATCCTCATCCTCATCCTCATCTTCAACCTCTTCCACTATTTCTTCAACCTCTTTGACTTGATGATCCTCATCGGCGTCTTCAACCTTTGGAGATTTTTTGTCACCCCAAATTCTATCGATAAGCCGAGTTGTTGTTGCGGGTATGACTTGCATCTTAGGTACCTTCAATTTCGACCTCGGATTCCGATTCTTTATGTTTTGCAGAATTATCTTCTCCTCAATTATCCATTTTGTGTGGTACCTATTCTGCATTTTACTTGTAAGATCAAGAACAAATGGACACCTTTTGATATCCTTGTCAGGATATTTTGTAAGAAGCTCCAAGATAATTTGTCCATGGACAATCACATATCTCTCAACCTCCAAAAGATTAGAAGAAATATAAGCTCTATCATTCTCCTCTAACCCACACAGTCTTTTTATCACATCTCCATATGAAAGCTTAGCAACCCTAGTTTCATTCTTGAGCAAAGCAAAGATTCTTTGCCCAACCCTTGCTGTCTTCATAACAGGCTCAAACCAAGGAGCATATTCCTCTGATGGTTTCCCTAGTTGATACCTACATTTACATAATACATATATCAACAAAACAACACAAAGTAACAAAATATATGTAATGAACTATATAGTAAGCTTACCAAGCCATATCTGTTCGTAAGAAAATGAAGGTAATGTCAGCACCAAACTCAATCTCCCATTCCTTTATCTGACTAAGGAATATGCTTGATCCGACATGATCATCATGTGACCGTGTAGAGCTCTCCGCATCATCTAAACAAAACCCTATTTCGTTATCTCCATTTATCACACCTGACCCAAACATTGCCACATCAATATCAGCACAAGGCTGCATGGGAAGTAGCTCGAGTGATATAAACCGTGACTCGGAGTTATAAAGACACCAATTCTGAAGCGTTTTGCATTGCATGTCTCTTCCCTCAACCTCATAGCCATGTTTGTAAAGAAGAGTCTCATCCACTTCTTCGTTGGTGCTCTCGTAATACTTTGGAGGAGGATAATCATTGGCAATCTCGACTTCATTGACTTTAATGTAAACTCCATTTGAGCTGGCCTTACTTCTCCGCGGCTGTATAAACTTCCTATACTCTTCATCTTGTACTAGTATAGCATGCTTAGTTCCCTTAACTTCTTCAGATGTCATACCATGGCTCTCATCTATCCTCAAAGCCATAGTACAAGGAACTTTACTACTCTCAGATCTTAAAGAAACAAGAACAGGATTGTTAACAAAGCTTGCTTCCAAACCAACGAGTTGGTTATATATGAATTCTCCTTGGAATCTAACAAAGTCGTGGACGGCTACACCACTTGAAAAGAACTTGCTTCTACTAATCGTTGACCTAACAACCGCGGCAAGTAGCCCATCAAGGCTTGTATCTGGATTCTTGGACAAGCTGTTATACACAGCCACACAAGCAAAGGCTTTCTCAAAGAAATAATCAAACATCTTCTTGTATCTGGTAGCTGGTTTACACAAACAGTACTCCGCTAAATCGGTTGAGATCCATATCACCGGGGAACCTTCTTCGTAACCAGATATGTACCACCTCTGTACCGGGCCAAAAGATTCACACCTCACACCCTTCTCTTTGCTTTCTTCTTCGTCTAAAGGTAAGATAAAACCTTCAACTAAAATGGTTTCACCAATCTCCAACATCTCTATGGGCTGATGAACTCTACCATTATCATGGAAAATGAAATTACTTAGCCTCCGCTTAATTGGCATCATCAGGCCATCACCATCGTTGATTCTTGAAGATTTAGTCTTCTCGAACGCTTCAAACTCGTGCTCCACAACATGCATCTGTTTCTTGGTTTTAACAGTTGCGAATTCCTCAGAGATATCGATCGGATCCTCCTTGAAGTTTGTACATGCTGCTGCTCGCCTTGGCCTCTTTGTCGTCGTAGAGACATCAGCCGGTTCAACACTTCTCTTCTTTTGTTTCCTAGGTTTTTTCTCCATTTCCACAAACACCTGAGTTTGAAACAAGAACTATATCATTAGCATGCAATTTTAAGGACAAGACTTTTTCTATGAATCTATGTAATCAAATCTATACAAAGAAGTGTTTTTTTACATCACCTTGATTATATCGACGTAAACCTAGCTTCGAATCTAGCTTGATATTGACAAGAAATTTAGAAGAATGGCACAAGAAAAATATATGTTTAGTGAAAGTTGTAAAACAAGAGAGAGAGAGAGAGAGAGGAGCCAAGTATATTACAAGTTGTAAAAAAGGGAGATAAGACTTTTTTAAAATAGGACAAAAAACGCCTGAAATTTGTTTACATTTCGGGCAGTCAAAAAAAAATCTTTTGATAAATTCTATATTACAAATTTCATTTAATATGATGAGTTGTAATTTAGATTTGTTTCTTTTTTTTATAAGTTGGAAATTTTTAGCTTTTAGGGAAAATCTATAAATCATATATATCTATTAATTAATTAAATGTCCATATTTTTATAAAATCAAATCTGAATTCAAATAAATGTTGTGATATATTGTATACAGGTGTATCAAAATTAAATTACATTTGACTAAAAAAAATAGAAATATATGAGAAGATAAAGATTTGGTTTGAATATTGACCGAACTATATAGAAGTTTTTCTTATCCTTTTAACAATGAGATAACACCCTCCATAAACATAAAATGGACCTTTTTAAAAAACTAAAAAAGAGAGAAAAAAATATATTATTCTCTTTTAAAACTTTTTATTTTATTTTTTACCTTAAACAATAACATTTTCACTATTTTGTAAAACTGACATTTTTAGTGCTGGCAGAAATGGTGTGTTACATTGTACATAGATGTTTCAATATGCGTTTTGTAATTTAGCTTTTGGGCAATATCCCACATATGTCTCTTCATCAGTATTTGCTCCTATTGTAATAAACACTGTAAAAGTCCAAATATTTGTTACTTGTCCGAATGCATTACTTACAAGTGTAACAGTCGAGATAAAATAATGTTTTTCTCTATTTTATGAGTTCGACTTTATTATAGCTAGATATCATATATGATATATGGTCTGGTTAGTGTAAAAAAAAAAAAAAGATATATGGTCTGGTTATATTATAATTTGATGTAAGTAATTTCTTTGCATTTGAATAATAAGACACATCTACCCAATTTGTTAAATCATTTTGAGTTTTACAAAGTTTTATTTTATTTTATTTTAATTAAAAAAAGCTTGCAATTTATAAAATATAGGCCTAAAGGTTATTTCCGGATTAGGCCATACAAATCACATTAGGGCCCAATCCATTTACAACTAACCAAACTAAATTATTGAGAAGCAAAATCGACCGGGTTCACAAACCGAACTAAACCGGACGCTGAAACCCTAATCTGCAAAGTGCAGACGCATAACACGCAGTAGCCGCCGTCCAACTGATCTGCGGGTACTCACCGGAACAGAACCTCCGGGTGAGCCTGGACGATGCTAGTCGAACGGAGATGGTGATCCAAGATCCGTTGCCATCCCGCCACCATAAAGCGGTTTTGAGAAAGAGGAAGAGAACCAAGCTAACTTTTGTTGAGGAGGTTTTCTTGCTCAGTCGTGAAAGAGGACATCAGTGGGGAGCAGATGAAGAGACCTTCGCCGGTGGCTTAGCTTCGCCAGATCGAAGACTACCTCCCCAATCATATTCGATCTCGTGAAACCTCCAAAGACTCAAGACTCTTAATCTAACTACTCTCCTCTCTCGATCTTCGCCGTGAATCTCCCTCTTCCACTCCGTGTCGCCACACCGCCGGTAGAGCTCATCTCACAGATTCTTCCTTGATTTTGAACCAACAGCTTCGTCGGGAAGATGTAATGAATCGCGGATGAAGAACCATGAGCCGAAGGGTCCTCATCGTCACCAAAATTGACTGAGAACCCAACGCCGGTGCATGAGTTTGTGATAAGAAGAAGAAGAGTTTTTGAGAGAGAAATCGCAGCGAGTGAGATCCACGCGCGCGACTCTCTCTAAAATGTTTTTGAGTTTTACAAAATTAAATTTCATACTAATGCAATTAATTAATTTTAGTGTATAGATAAGTTTTATGTAGCAAAATAATATAGATTTTATATATAACATATAATAAGACTACCTCCACATACTTAAAAAATTGGGGTGTCTTTAAATATTATAAAACTACCTCCATTGGTAAAAAAAAAATTGGCATGTCTTCAAATAAAATTTTGGGTAAATAGGAGGGATCCGTATCTTTTGAGAGACACTTCAGAGTTCACATGCTTTGGCGTCGTTGGTATGCCTTAGTTTTAACTTAAGGGTGTGACGTGTTCTAAATATTTTGGATTCAAATCTAAACTCTAGGGAGTTTAGTTAAGGTTTAGTTAGTACGCATTTATTAAATTAATTAAAACGTTTATTTATGAAAACCATGTTCTGTTTTTTTTATAATATACAAGTATTATGTTTACAATTAGAAGTTACTATGACCTAGAAATAAAAGAATAAAAAATTGTAGTTGAAAACTGAAGGCAAATTTGAGTGACTTATATAGAATTTCTCTTAAAAATGCTTAAATGGAATTTAAATGAAGGAGGTTGCTTAGAAACGTGTGACTTAGCTTGTTGAACTCTAGGCGAGTGTGTGGTATGGTTATAAAAACGTTTGGAGCTTAGTTTGATTAGTGTGGTTGGAGATTTTGTGAGGGCAACATTATCGGGAGTATCTTAGCCTATCTTAGGGGGCTAAGATATCATGGTTTTTGCAAAGGAAATATCTTATATATTCTCAAAGGTTCAGGATAAGCTAAAGGTTTAGAAAATGTCTAGATATCTCTTTGTCTCATAAGATTCGCCCTGGTTTGTAACCCCGAGGTTCATTCAACGTTGGTGCTCTATATGGATGAGGGTTTCTAGCCATGGCTTGTGACTCCGAGTTCTTCTAAGAAGCATACATGGCTGGCTTTGAAAACCCTTTATGCCGTGGTACAACATGCATCTATCTTCAAAACTCTTTTAAGGGACCTTCATCGAAACCCAATTACTACCAAGTTGGAGCATGGGGCACGGTTGCTATTTTTTTATTTTCTGAAAATATTGCTTAGGAATATTGCTTAAATATTATATAAAAATAATATTAAATTGAAAATCATACATCATATAATAATGTTACATAAAAAAGGCTTAAAAATTGTTTTCACAGATTTGTTAAAAGCCCTTAAAGGCATTCCTAAAACATATATATACAACATTTCTTTGACTTTGTTATATAATTAATATATACCTTAATGTTATTTATACATTTTATATAGTAATTACATGTATAACAAACAGATCTGAATTTCGAAACCCTGCTTTAATTTCAATTCCACATATTGCATGCTTTTATTAGAATCTTTAATTGATATATATGGATAAAAACACAAAAAAGAATGTAACTAAGCTTTATTTTTAAAAACAACTCCGAAAGCTCAGTTTCAACATAAGCAACAACAACAACAAAAAAAGAAGACAGAAACACAAAAAGAATGTGAATTAAAAAGAGAAAGAAAAAAAAACAAAGCAAAAGCAAAAGAGAGTGGAGAGTGGTAAGGCTCCACACTCAAACTCTTCACTCTCACTCCTTTCTTTTCCTCTCTTACCACTTTCCCCAATATGGCTCTCTTTCTCCAAACTCTCTCCTTCCTCCTCCTTCTTCTCTTCCCTTCCTCCACTGCCATGTGGTGCGTTGCTCGGTTCGACGTTACAAGCCAAGCTCTTCAGGCTGCTTTGGACTACGCATGTGCCGCTGGAGCCGACTGTGCACCTATCCAACCTAATGGTCTTTGTTTCCTCCCTAACACCGTTCAAGCTCACGCTTCTTACGCTTTCAACAGCTATTTTCAACGTGCAGCCATGGCTCCTGGCTCATGCAACTTCGCCGGCACATCTACAGTCGCAAAAACTGATCCTAGTATGTATTTTACATAACCATAGTTAAACAAGATTGAATAACTTAGTAAAACTGTTATAATAGTTTATGGTGTTTATTGTTTTTTGCATTCTTCATGTTTTATACATTTTTGCTCTAACTTAGGTTTTTGTTATTGTGTATAGGTTATGGATCATGCGTGTATCCAAATTCTGTGCGGTACGTAACTTTTATGGATGTGTTTATTTTGCATATTACATGTATATATACTCGTATGCACTAAGTAGTATTTTTTGTTCTTTCTATATTTACTGTTCGTTTCTAATATATTTACGTTCTTATAGTTTTCTCTGGTAAAAGAAAAAGCTAGCTCACGATATTTTCATTCATTTGACTGAGAATGATATGATTCTATTCATGCGTCGTACGTACTAATTTGCATGACTTTTTATATGTATATCACATTCGATGATTCTGGACCGTTGGATGATCTTTAAGAGTAATCATTCAACGGTAGAGATATTTGTTTGCTCATCTTTAGTTCTGTATTCTGTTTATGTTCGTTAGTCAGAATGGTACAAGTTTCTAAATAATTAAGAGAAAAGAAAGAAAAAAAAAAAAAAGAGAAAAAGATAAAGATAAAAAGCGTGTTGCAGTGTTTTACTTTAGAGATTTCGTGAATAACAAGTTTATACAAGTTGATGATGTTATTTGCATTTTACTTATATTGTAAAAAGATTCTTGATTCTAAATTTGTTTCTTTTTTCCGATTTTTAATCATTTTCCTAAAAACATCTACTTTATAAATTTATATCAAATGTTTTATGTTGTTTATATATTAAGCTATCAGTACTCGTATCATCATTTTAAAATTTGGATAACGAAAAATAATGCATTAGTTTCTAAGTCAAGTGAACAAGACAATAATGTTCTGAACTGTTTTGGTTTGGTCATGGCAGCAACGCTGGAGGCTCAGCTTCGACTACCACAATGGGAGGAACACCGAGAACAACCACTGGAAACAGTCCAATGACGACACTGAGGCCACCATCGTCTGGCACCACGACATCACCGTTTGGAATAAGTGGCGGTGGACTTAATCCAGAGGGAACCACTACCACTAACACCGATGAGTCTGGAGCTTATGTAATAGACAAGACTACTAGTACTGTCTCTATAGCTTTATTGGTTGCCTTACTTTTGTGGTTTATATAGGTGTTAAGTAGATTCTTGTCGTAGAATATATATGTACGGTTACAACATTTTTGTTAAATGGGTTTTGTTAGTGAATTGTTTCATAAAAGTCTCTTTACAAAAAAA